AAACTTTTTTTTTTTTTTTTTTTTTTTAAGTTAGAATGAGATTACACAATATTTTGATCTCTACTTAAATCACCTGCGTGTGCCAGATATGGTGTTGCCATTGGGAAATAATATCTTAAGGGTATTTTCTTTCATTATTCCACTACATTTTATAGGTGCCAATATACTGGCTACGACATTTACGGTACTCTTGTAGTGCGAGAACGTGAGGGTTATCTTTTCCTCTGCTTCGTTTTTCAAAGGAATTGGGAAGAAGTAAATTTCACATGTATCAGAATCGATGCTGGATATCGGGTTATCACCGTACAGTTGAAGGCAATTGAACATGTTCCCTTCCAATTCTCCTTTGACAAATATTGGAGCTTCTAGACTAAATCGACCACGCTGACTTGGTACAAATTCTATTTTAAAGATGGTCTTTTCGGCAGGTTGTAATTTGCAAATGATACATAGGTCGGTCATAGTTGATTCTACGCCATTGATCCATTTTATAGTAAACGGACAATTCATCGTGTGAAAATCATCAATTCGTATGATGAATGATGTTTCTCGGTCAGTATTGTTAAATACGCACAACTCATCCTTTATGGTTATCGTCAAATGATCATTTTATTTTGAGAAAGATTAGATAAATCTTAGTAATAATCTTGTATAACACAAACCTGATTGGTAGTGACATTAAAATGGAACACAAGCTTGCTGAAGGATATAACGTGTCCGGCAACAGTACAATCAATGTATATTGTTGGTAGTGTCCGAGGAAAGCTTATCAAGTCGATTCCAGAAATATTACTGTAATGTTCCTCACGTGGTTTCAGGAAGTCATAAGGTGTGTACATTCTCTGATTTTCCATGAGTATGGGTCCCAGCAATTCGTTTATCATTATTGGCAAATAGAAAGCATAGCTAGCCAAATCAATGGGAACGAAACGCAAGTAAAATTCAACCGTGTCAGAAGGTGCAATCGTTATGGACTTTGAACCTAAAAATAATGTTAATTAGCATTTTTGTAAATTAAAAAATTTTACAAAAATTCAACATACCTATTCCTGGATCATTGACTGTAGGTGATAGAGCTACACAAAATTCAGGATACTCGGTTACGAGAAATTGTATCTTTGCAGTTGCTGTTCCAACATTCGCAACAGTTATAAGATGTATCTGAAAAGCATCAGCACTGACGCGGCCCATTTCAATGACTTCCGGTGAGAACTTTAGCATTGGAAAGTTTACTTCACCATTTAACTTTAATTGCAACTTGAGGCACTTTTGTACCATCACGTGGACGTTTACTGAAAATCGTAAGCAAGCATCCAACTTCAATCGAACCTAAAGAATTTAAAGTAACAGGTCTTATTAAGCGTGACAATTATATAGTATGCCAAGCACGCACTTCCAAAGTGGCAATTCCACGTGGTGGAATTGTTCCATGATCGGGATAAACTTCACATCCATAAATTAGAGACAGAACATTCACTTCGTACATAACTTCAGTGAATTCTGCGTTGTGAAGCACACCGATACCTGTAGTCGTTATGTTCAAAGGTATTTTGCCGAAATTCAAAGTATCGTTTATGAAGGCAACATTGGGAGATGACAAAATGGTATCCAATTTTAGGGACGAATAATTTCCACCCTCGCTGCTCATTGTCACTTCGGCCTGATGCGACTTAGCAGCGTTCGGTTCGTAATTTACACCGACGAGTAAACTACGGTTCCCACGAACTGTACCAAAAGACGGTTCCACCGAAAAACTGGCTGCTGCAGGAACTTGCCATCTAGACATTTTTAACAAGTTGAACCACAGTGACTTTGTTCCATGTGACCATTGTTCATTCAATTTTTCTTCGGATGATTTACCTAAACGTTGTTCTGGCATCCAATTTATTTCTGATTTGCACGAAACTCACAGTGGGTTGGTATGTTTCTTCTGGTAGATAGCCCTGGCCAAAGACAATCTCGCGCGTTCCTAAAGTCAAGTATTTGTAAACTACATCCGCTGTAATTGCCAGCTGATAGAAATGATTGTCGTTTATTGCGTAGCCAATGTATGTGTTAAATTTTCCAACTTCCTGTGCTCGATACTCGATCAAATTTTTCTCAAGAGATCCCGGACGCAGAATCATCCTGCTTCCGTTTGGGAAACGAATACATTTATTGGCACAAGTCAGACGGACCATAATTGGAAATTGATTTCTATTTTCTATCGTCAGTTCACGATAGTTCATACTCTTCGGTGCTACCTAAATAGAGAAAAAATAGTTGATCGTTGTGAATAGAAAAAAAAAAAAATATTACTTATATTTAAAAATGACAATGCATACCTGCCCATATGAGAATATCGTTGGTGATACCTTCACGTTATATATTTGAATTGGAGATAAGGGCACCAGAATCTCATTCTTGGCTTTAGCTATCAATTTTTCATTTTCTGCCTTTGATATTTTCTGAGCTACCGATTCTATTCGATACCTTGGAATTCCAACAACACCACAAATCAAGTCATCGTAGCTGTACGTTTCTAGCATGTTTTTTCTCAAAATTGATTTTTTTTGTGTTTGAACGGTGCGCAGGTACTTAGCCCAGTAATCTCTTTCTTTTATCTTACGTGCCATTTCCTCGGGAGAATAAGTTTCCGCGAGATTTTCACCTGGCAGGTATTTCAATTCTTCGGAAGATACCGTCGATGACTTTTTATATGGTTTCAGGGATTTCTGAGTATCGTTCAAACGAGCAGATGTTCCGCCGGATACTTGATTCGCACTTTTACCATCTAACAATTTATTAGAATTAGCTTGAACAGAGGATACGGCTTTGTTCGTTTTCAACGATAATAAACCTAAAGCAATATTGTAAAATATTCTGTTAATCCAATAACGTCCTCATATCTTGTCTTATAAAATTTTGCATCCAATTTACCCATAGTATATTTTGTTTTTGACTTCATCTTAGGAATGTTGATATGGTGTACAAAACACGGCACAGTCGATGTATCAATTGTCACATACTTTTTGATTTTACCTCCGGATCCATTTTTTGTTTCCCCCATTAATTCAAATGATAAAGTCAGCGGCGAGGTGGCTGCGATAAAAAAAAAGAGAAATTAAATAAGTATATCATGATATAAGGTATTTATATTATATCAATATATCTTTACTATTGAATTTTCCCTGAATCGTGATTCGAACTTCTATGGATTTGGTCGGTCTTATACTACTGCTCTTTGGCGTACAATGGACGCTATGCTGATTGACGAAGCGATACAATATAGGTAAGTGTATCGATGAATTTCGTATACAAATGACACGATCGGCAATTTCTCCAATGGTTAATGTTTCCAAGTGAAGTTCATCGGGTGTAAATGTTAATCGCGGTTTTTCGACTTCGCCATAGAGACACAGCCTCACTGTTTCTTGAAAAGAAGACTGAGAAGGTGTCTTCTTTAAAGAAATAGTGCTGCGCACCGAGGACGATGGATGTGCTAAAAATGTAAATAAATTTGTATACTGTATACAGCAGAGCTGCGATATACATACGCATATAAATGTTTTGAAACGATTCTTCGACGTTTGAATCCTTTTCTGCATCAGCCTCTGTTAATACAATGCAATAAGAGAAATTTCATGAAAATTTATATAAAAGTTGATTTTTTAATGTCAATTCGTTATACGCACTTATCACGTCTGCTACCTCGGTACAATGTACTCTTAGAATACGAATGAAGACCATGAAATCTTGACACTCGGTGGTTTTTAAATGCCGAGTCTGATGCATTAACTTAGGCGTTGGGGAGAAACTAAATTAATAGAATTGGGGTAGCGAGTATATACTTTTTTTTTTTAAATTAATTATCGATATACAAGGTCTTACACTATTCTGAAGACTATTCCTTCGAAGGGCTGCATACGTCCTTCCGTCGGATAAATTTTGAAGGCTCGATAGGCCGGTTGAGTCTTGGCACTGATAGTCTTTTGAGGACAATTATTTAAAGTAGATATGAAATATCTGTAATATACAGAACAAGAAATAGATCTGCAGATCACCTTAATTGAAAACAATTCATTGTCCACCTCGCCTAGAACGACGAAGCTCGTTATTTGGGAGGACAGATTTCGCAGTACTAATGTATTATAGTTTTCCGTGTTCATGAAAGTCGGAGAAAAGTCAATCAAAGTGAAGTCTCCAGTCATATTCAAATGATATACGACTAGCCGAGGAATTATGATATTGACTCTTATCGGAATGCGTACATTTGGAGTCGATTTGATCCTGTAAAGAGAAATTGATGTATATATGTATTATTAACGAATAAAATAACTTTCTCACCAAAATTCACTATAAAATGTTCCTTCCTTAGTCCCAATCAGTTCCACCCGTAGTTCTATATGGCTGTATAATCTTACTACTCCGCGCGTCGGTTTGACGTTAATCTCTAAATCATTTTTACCCAAATCGACTGAAAATCTATAAAATTTATAAATACTCAAGTAGTCCTGTTTTCATGGCTTTGGTATGTCGGTAGTATCACCTGGTACTTTTACCACCATTGTTCATAATAGTCAGTATCTTTACACCGGACGAGCAACCAATATCCACTATTCCAAAATCAATACACGATGGCTGCATGGAAATGCATTCAGTAGCTAAGCTGCAGACTACATGATAATCTACAAAAGTTCCATTGATCTGTATAGGAATCATAGCATGTAGAAGAGATGGTCGCTTGTAAGAATATTCGACCTGTCTTGAAATAGTTAAACCAGGACTCAGCAGTACTCCGCTTTCTAGAGTCCGAATTTTAAAAGCCTGCAAAAGGAGTTTATGGGGCTCGGGATTATGGCAACGGTGGAGAATAAAGGTAAACTCACTATAGAATTTGGTGCGCAGATTCTAATAAGAGCTGGCTTGTTGCCTGTATTTTGAATAATCATTAATTGGCGATATGTGGTTCCTTCACTGGCATCTCTGAACTCCATGTAACTTGGTGTTATGCTAATATTATCGTGACCCGTGAATTCTAGAATTTCGATGGATTCTGGAACATTTTGAACGTCCGAGCCTTCTTGTACAATTATCACTGAACTTCTTACGCCTTCATTATCTCGCGATAACCCCTTTAATACAAAGAGACACTTAACCTATGAAAATTTTTAACAAATATAAAACAGAGATATCTGGTTTTTTACACCCAAGTCAGTGCTCTTCCTGTGTCCTGATTTTGTCGAACTAGTGTGAATTACTGACATTATTAGACATTAATAAACTCTTCAAGGTCTTTTTGCAAGAAAGTAATAAAATTGTATAGATATTACGCAATAAGTGTTTTATTTGTTGATATTAAATAAATAAGAGACGATCTGTTTAGTTTGAACTTATTTATTAATATCAATCAAACTACTGAATCCATGTTCACGATATCCGTATTTGGTTTCAGCTTCATATCGGGTGGTCCAACGATTGCAACTGTGTTTAAGATTTGCTTGATCCACGTACGGTATACTGAAACCTGTAATTGTACAATATCATTGTGTATTATTCAATTGTCAAAGTTTCCCGTGCGATATAAAAATTGGCGTTACCTTTGTAAAAACTGTATAAAACATCGGATCACAAAAACTTGTTCCAGGTCGACGAGGACTGATAGACACTACACCATGAACTTCCCAAAATGTTGAATTTGGCTTTTGCAAAACTAAACCACCTCCACTGTCTCCATTACAAACACTAGTTCCATTGCCCCAACCAGCACAAAAGGAAGTGTAGGTCAAGTATTTTCGAAAATCTCTTTTTTGCTTCTCACGACACATCTCATCGGAGACTAATTGAACTGTCGTTACTCTCAAAATGGAACTATACGTGTCGTTCTCCGTAACTCCCATGCCTGCGTTAATAGTACTTTTTATTAATGCTGTTATCAAATAAGTATAAATATAATTTATTACCAGTAACTAATCCAATGTCACCAATTCTCTGAGATACATCCTGCGTGTTTATCCAGTCTATACAGGCCGGACTAATAACGGAGTTGATAACAGGTGGTTTATTGAGAATCAATAGCGCTAAGTCCGAGCCATAATTTCCTTCGTGATCCTGATACGAATCCTGTACCTCAATCCTTTCCACGTTCAGAATTTGAGCATCTCCTCCTAGATTACTGAAATTACTCGAATAAGCAGCTAAAGCTACTTTAATGGTATCCACTGACGTCTTCCATACGCAATGACCAGCAGTAAGTACAACGCGCTCTGCTATCAGAGTACCGCCGCAGAAGAAGTCCCATTTCCCATCATCGTGAGAAAATAATGTAGCATGCCATGGTAAAGATTCATCAGGTACTACTTCCCAGCCTTTGACTATCAACGCAGCAACTAAAATAATATTAACTATTAGAGAGAAAATAATTTAGTCATACTTTATCTCAATTACAACTGAAACCTGAAGATTCTCTTCTTCCGCAAATTGGATTACAGCTCAATGGCAACTGGCTCCAGGTACCATCGTGAAGACACGTGACCCTAGTAACGCCCTTCACGCGTTCGTAATAAGCTGGACATTCTAAAGTGACTTGCGTACCAACTGGAACCGGTGACTCACACGAGATCCAACCTTGATGAGGTCCCCACTTTGCTTCACAGCGTTTAATTACACCCCCCGATTCCACCGGGGGACACGTTATCGTGTCGGTACCTTGCGATAAAGATATAATTAGATCTAGATCACAAAAATATTCTAAAAAATATTATACCTGTGGGACAAGTAGGGACGGATGGAAGCCACGTATTATCTTGACAATAAATGCTACTAGAACCTTCCAACGAACCCTCCACGTCACACGTATAGTCCAATCGTGTCAGTTCTGCCACAACGTCACCAGGTCGACACTCGGGACAATTTACAACGGTATAATGTGTTCCTGGTTGGGCTGGAGGTAAACGACAAGCTCCCTCTGGTAAAGACACGCCGCAGATTGTCTCCTCTTCGTCGCTCCAGTCATAACAGTTGGGCTGTAGATTGCACGTAAGATTCTTCGAAATGCATCCACCGTACGCACATCTGAACCAATCCTGCGGACAACTTGTGTACATTTTAATTAATATAATTGTAGAGAAAAAAATAAACAAAATTTGTACTTACTCCCGCGACTTGCACATTTTCGAATTCTCATCAGAACCGTCTCTACACTGATGGACTCCATCGCAAACTTTACTTTCTGGTAAACACTGTCCTTGGCTGTCACAGCTGAATTCTCCGTCTCTGTAATTTAAAATAATTTTTTACCAAATTTTGATTTCAATCAATAGGTCTGTTCTCGTTACCTACACTGTCTGCACTTTTAAAAAAGTGTAGATTCTCATTGGTTACTTAGAAATATTATCCAATAAGAAATTGCACTTTTTGAAAAATGCAGATAGCCTAGGTAACGAGAACAGACCTATTAAGTATATGTGATTGTCTATTATTCTAACCTGCATTTATAATTTTGACACTCATCTCCCACACAGTTGATTGCTGCACACACTGCATCATTCTCATCCGAGCCATCAATGCAATCCTTGATACCATCACATATTACTTCCTGGTGTACGCATCCTCCATAGAGGCAATGATACGTGTGCATAGGACAAGGATATTCGTTACACAGTATACTGCTTTCATCGCTACTATCCAAACAGTCTGGATATCCTGTTGTTAAATCGGGTCAATGAATAAGTGAAGTTAGTGTCAGGATACTTGCGATGCAATCATCTTACCATTGCAGATTTTTGACAGACTAATGCACTCGGTAGAATTGACACACTGAAATTCACGATCCGAGCAAATTTCAGTTACTTGGCAATGGAGCTCGTCGCTGCCATCAGTACAATCCTGAAGACCATCGCACCTGGAATCTCGGGAAACGCAAGCACCGTAGGCACAGCGATACATAGAAGTTGGACACCTGAAAAGATACTTTGACTTTGGTAAATTTAAAAGAAAATACTAATCTTTGTCTCTTACACAACGTGCTGGCACAGCTTTCTAAGTTCGTCCGAAGAATCTGGGCATTCCGGTTTTCCATTGCATACGTCGCTAAGTGATATTCTGGATCCATCGACGCAAATGAAGTGCTGTACTTCAGGTTTTGCAATTTCTCCATATACTGAGACGTTCTCGTAGCCTGTGGCGAGTCAAGGAAAATTATACATTTCTTGTAATATTGTCAATGTCGAATGTCATTGGTTATCAGCAAATATTGACGCAGTTGCGGAATCCGTCCATCTGCTGGTAAATTTTTTGGTGTAGGATTAGATAAGAGACTCGAAGTAAGAACGTTACGTGGTCCTACGTGTCTAAGGTCTTTTGAATCTATACGTTATGACTCGTGATATTGAGTGTTTGAGTGTGCTTGTGCAATATTTGATTCTTGGAGCTTATAGAAATTTGATATGATATCGACTTTTTACCAGGAACGAATCGTGACTTTGTAGGTGATACGAATTTTGATAGAGAAATAAAAATGGATACCTAAAGTTGTGTAGAAAAAAATTAGAAGTGTATACATCTTTCTATGTACTACATTATGAATATAAGATGTGCATTTATATACGGAAATCATAATGGAGTAGAATTATTCATTGCATCATCCGTTGAGAATTCTGTAGGGAATAGGTAATTATCACAGTATTCTCATGATAATGTAATTTTACTGAAAATGTCATTCATTATGTTAAGTATAAAACTTAGCGTTATCTCGAATTAGTGATATCTTTTGTACTACTGAAATTATCATTTAAATATACTTAACGTGTTCAACGGTAATAACGTATACATACAGTAACGTCCAATTGAAGTGCAACACTTGAATTTTTGTATATTTCTGTGAAATTATGACCGATTTCGAAAAACCAAAGATACATTGTTTAGGAAATTTCCTTACCGTTTGAACGATAAAGGTTTTATCCCGTTCGGATACAAAAAATAACCGAACGGCTTAGATGTTGGTAGTATCATTTCCAAATACCAAAAGTTCCATTGATCTGTATAGGAATCATAGCATGTAGAAGAGATGGTCGCTTGTAAGAATATTCGACCTGTCTTGAAATAGTTAAACCAGGACTCAGCAGTAGTCCGCTTTCTAGAGTCCGAATTTTAAAAGTTTTTTCCGTTTTTAGAATAGAAACGAATTAGAATAGAATTAGAATAGAATAGAAAGTTTTACCATTTCCTTCAGGGGTTGGAGTGAAATAGTGCATTTTGGGACTTTTTGAAAAGTGCGTGAACTAGCAGTTCTGGAAGGAAATTCATATTTATAATTATGACACGAATAAGAACATCTTTCGGCAGTCAAAAAACACTCCCATTGAATCCCTGTAGCATCACTCTAGGGGGAGCTACACCCCCTTGAAGTGAAAACACTTAATTGGCCATAACTTCCGAACGTGCCGGCTAATCTGGTCCAGTTTCTGCGTGATATCATCTTTACTGATACTGCAGATTCTCACGAAATTATTATTCTCGGAGATGATCCCGTGATGGAGATCTCGAGACATCGCAAGCGCGCCGGAAGCTTCGCCGCCATTTTTCATTAGGAATGCGATGAAAGAGAAGTTTCATATTTATTCCACGTTGTAGCTGAGATTTCAAGGATTAAAATGCGCTTTTAAACGTCCAAAAATGAGTTTGCTAAGGGGTTAAATTTTTCATTTGAAAAAATGCCTAAATATTGCGAGTTCCGCTCGAGGCGCTCGGGGGACAATTGCTTGGCGCGCGTGGTAGGGTAGTAGTCCTCCGATCGGGATAAAACCATTACCATTCAAACGGGAAGGAAATTTCGTAAATAATATATCTTTGGTTTTTCGAAATCGGTCATAATTTCACAGAAATAGTCAAAAATTCAAATGCTGCACTTCAATTGGACGTTACTGTATATGCACAGAAAAATAGTACCAGAAGTGGTAATGACACACATGTGCATTTTAAAGAATTTGATAATTACTACTGTCACTATATAAAACTTATTACCGTTTTTTTTTTGAGTCGTTGATTTCGAATCAAAAGTTCAAATTTTTTATTCAAACGGCAAAATAAATGTGGCGTCGGTAAAATAGTTAAATTTGATAAATATACAAATTTGCGACATATACATATGTCGTAACGTGATGTACTTGTTAAATAATTTAATACTACGCGAAAAAACCTATAAACAAAATAGTAACAAATAATATGAAAATCATTGAGCAAAATACTTTTTTTTACAATGATTATCGATTAAACCAGGTGCGTTCCCAGCTACTTTATTAGATATTCTTTAGTTTAGAATTAAAATTAGTCAAAGAGTAAAGAAAATTAGAGTTTTAGCACCTAAAGGTAGTCTGTCCATTTAATTTCTATGGTATAACTACCTTCAGGTGGTGCATTTGTCGCGATTAACCCTATACGTGTATAGATCCTCTTACGGAAAATAACTACATTATTAGTTCTGACGCGAGCACTCCTGTGAGTACTCCTTTGACTACTGTTTATGCTATTCAGTAGTGATCAGTGGTATGAATAGTACTCATTTTTTTTTAATTAAACTTTAGTGTGGTGCAGATCAAGTTAAATATAATGTTTAGAAATAATCAATAACAACGTTTACGTAAAATATATTTTCGATAAATTATATTTACTGTATTATTGAATTCCAGTAACATCATTGCTAATCCCTTTGATACTAAACACTATTATATTCCAATAATTATTTTCTATAAGAGCTATTTATGAATACATTGACATATTACTGATTCCATCGATTTTCCATTGCCTTATGATTTTATCACATCTACTTGTATTAACTTTATAAACTTCCTTGTATTACTCATCATGCCGCAGACAAATGTTTATGTTCGAGGAAAAGACTGTTCATTGATCTCAAGTGTGATTTTTCATGCGGCTACGTAAATGGAATGACGAGGATCCGGAAAGTGGATACCGAGTATCGTATAGCGTATGGCTTTATCTGTCCATACGTAGGTAGGTAATCTGATGTGTCCTGTGTATGCTCAGGGTGTGAGCGCGCGCGTTATCATCACATTATCTGAAGCAAAGAGTTGAGCGGCACGCCTAGTTTCAAATCAATCTATATATCGAAAAATACATTTCCTTCAGTCGTTTGCTCGAATACTCAGGGAACTACTAGGTCGATCTCAGGCTGTGGATAGAAAATGAGGAATATGATTTTCTTGTTTTTCTTTGTGGCAAGTGTGAGTGCACAAGAGCGATGTGAGTATCTCTTTTTGGAATTTAATAAAAAGGTACCGCTCGTAAGTGTTAGTTTAATTGTTTGTTGAAGTCTTAAAAATGTATTTTGCAATTTATTATATTACCTGAAATATTATTCCGATAGGATCAATTACGCGTTCGGGTAAGGCAGTGAATAGGTAATTTAAAAATATTCACCTTTGAATAACGAAGATTAAATATTTCGAAGATAAAATAATGCCATTTAGAAGTGTGTTTTTTTTAAGTTTTTGAATTTTTGTATCCCACACAGCATAAATATTCTATGAACAACTGCAGGACATCTATTGGATGTTCCTCTTAGCAGTCCTAGGGACGTCCTAGGAACGTTCATTGAACATTTCTGCTATGTCGGATAGGAGTAATGTGCTATACTATTATTTATGGTAACAAATGTTGTGAAATCTATTCTTTATTATTCATATTATATTGTGGAATTTTTCTATAGCGATAGAATGAAATGTAAACTACGTTACTTTGTACTAATGAAAATATAGTTTATCATTGTAAAATCAAATGGCTAATACACTAAATTGTGAAAAGACAATTGTTCGGTCATACTTTTGCTTGCGTGATTATATTAATCAGTTATATGAAATCTTATCTCGAAACCAAAGATCGTGAAGGAATGTAATATACTATCCAACAAACGCAAGTCGATCGCAGAGAAATCGCGGACTTTCACCGCGATGTTCCAAAAACCTTGCTTTCTTTCCTTCCTTTATGACTATCTTCTTATAACGAAGATGTGCAGGTTCAAAAAATGTCCAACGGAGTTCCTTTGGGTCGAATGTCCGCAAAAAAATAACATGAAAGTAGCATAGACCTCCGAAGTGGAAGTATAGAAGCCTGGCGAATGTTCTTTGAACATCCTTGTGAAAGTCCGTGTCCTCTGGGATTCTCCTGCGGTCGACTATTCCAGATATGCTGATTTCGTGCCGCATATATTTGATTAATGTTTATAATATATTTTGTGTAATTTTAAAACGTGAGCAAATTTCAAACGTTCTTTCGACGTTGCAAAATTGCTATAAATTAAATTAATTCGTACATATATTAGGACTTGATAAAGTGTAACTTTTTCTGACATATCAGATATCCCAGCGAAATCACAGGTTTACTGGGTATAATTAATCTTCTTTTATCTTTATAAGATAAAAGTGTTATCTATTTTTAAATTATAATCAAGACTAAAATTATAAAAAATGTAAAATTGCATTGGATGTTGATAAAATATTCGACATTATTAAATTCAGGTTCAACCTGGTCTTATCGTCTTGGTCGTATATTATTGTATATATTAAGCTTATTTTGCATAATGCTTGTTAAACGTCTTTTATGACGACGTGATTACTTATCAGCTGCAATAAAACGTCAACGTCATAGGACAAACCGCGACAATTAAATATTTATCAATTGATGGAAATCGTGACATCATTGAACTTGTATGTTTTTCTAATGACTGGCCGTTATTTCTAGAGTCTGATTTAACTATTATCAAAATTGGCAAGTCATGAAATTCGGTGCTAGGATTTTTTTGGGTCGCTGAATACGAATTTGGGGTTAGAAATACAAAATTCAAAATGGTTCATTTAAACTCTTAAGAACGCTTTTTGTGAGAGTTACTCGTGTGCTCTTTCTCTCCTCCGGTATTAGCTAGTGAATTCATATTCACATACCCAGAATGTGCCACAGGGAGGCTGCGACGGTAGGGTTTTACACTCCGTTCTCTACCTTTTTTATTTTTAATAATTTTCACATTTTTTAAAAGTACCTTTATAAGTTTTTATAGATTTTTCCATATATTTTTTCCTAATATCCAATTTCATGGGAATCCACGAATTTTTTGAAATTTTCAAAATTTGAGGTCGCATAGTTGGATCAACTATTTTGAATTTTGTTATTTTTACCTCAAATTCATATTCTGCGACTCGAAAAACTTCGTAGTACCGAGTTCCCTTATAATATTATTGGCTGGTAAAAAGTTAAACGATGTGCGCACTATTGCATCGATGCCAGTGAAGGGATTAAAAGAGATAGTACTTAAAGAAGCTTATCCTCGCTGTCAAGGCAACGCCCCAGTTATTGTTAAACTATATATTTATGTAGTTTATTTAAATATTAATGCCTTATTCAATGTCTAAAAAATACATGAAGACATTAGTTATTTTTTATAATTCAATAAATAAATCAAACTAGCATAATGATTTAAATAATAAAACTAATTGTTATTTTTTCATGGCATGAATTTTTTCAACTGTCAGACCGACTTTGTGCACCGCAATCTATTAGTGATAATACCTGCTATTCGCTACAACGTGGAGAAAGTCAGGTATCTTGTCTTCGAGTAGAGGATAGCGCTGATTGCGCTATAAAGCTGAGTAGAGGAGATGCAGATTTCGGTGTCTTTACTGCCGAAGAGCTTCTTCTTGCACATCAATTTTATCCCACGGGACTCCAACTGATCTCACAATTAAGGCACAAAGACAAAATAATCGGTGAGTTTTTCAAAATATTTTATATTTTAAAGGGTAATCGTACTTCTTTTTTCTTTATATAGAGGAGTTTGAATTCCAATCGGTTGCTGTTGTACCAACGACTTACAATTCCGTTGAAGGAAACTTCAATGGTCTCCAGAATGGTGGTTTGTGTCATCCCGGTTTCAGCAAGGCTCAAATGTGGAATAATTATATCCTGAAATATTTTGAGAAAAAAGTCTATGGATCTACTTGCCGTGATAGCATGACAACTGCTGAGAATGAAGCGATGAATCTACAAAATTTCTTTGGCAAAGCGTGTCGACCTGGGGAATGGGTGTCCGATAATGCATATACTACAGAATTGAGTAAGCAGTACTTCCATTTCTTTTGATAAATTGAAAATTTTTAATATATGTCTATAATCGAATATTACATTTTTAGAGAATAAATATCCTGACTTGTGTTCTCTCTGTGACACCTCTTCATCATGTACGTATAGAAATATGGATAACCATGGACACACTGGAGCATTGGATTGTTTGACTTCAGGACGCGGAAAAGTTGCTTATGTTGCCTTGAACTATGTTCGACAGTACTTTGCGGTATAAGACGCTTAACATGCATAGAATGAGAAAATATAAATAATAAGGAAAATAATATTTATACATATGAAAATAAATTCTAGTTGGATTCTCCGGCAGCGATTATAGCGAACATGACTGCCAGTTCATACCAATTTTTATGTCCTAATGGGACTGTTCAGCCTTTGACGACATCAAACCCGTGTGCTTGGGTCAAGCAGCCTTGGAGTGCTATTGCTGTTAGAGAGTATGTAATATCGCAAATATTGTTGTTTAGATAAATTACAATTATCTTTTGTTACAGTGATCGAGCATCGTCCTTACTTGAAGGATTGAAAAATTGGTTGAAACCAACACGAAGTGCAGAAGATTGGACCACGGCATTAAGGAGTATTATCCAACAAGATGCCGTTCCCAATTTTTTCACTGAATACACTTCTTTTGAAACATATCTTAGAAAAGGAAGAGAAGTGAGCTTCCCAACTTCCTCTTGTGGCAATACCATTCGTTGGTGTACAATAAGTACCTTAGAGACAAACAAGTGTAACTGGATTGCTAAGGCTGCGGTAACTCATGGCATAGAACCACAGATTTCATGTGATCAAACTAATTCTACATTCCATTGTTTCCATGACATCGCTGATCATAAGGCTGATATCATTACTATTGACTCAAATTACGGACACTTAGCAAGACAGTAAGTGTAAAAAATGACTTCCATATCTGCCATATTTTACAGAAGCATATATAATAATAATGTTTTTCTATTGCTGCAGGGTATTTAACTTAACGACAGTACTCTATACTGAAACTGAAACTGATCGCAATAGTGTGGTTATTGCCGTTGTGCGAGAAGGCTCAAGTTACAATGTGTCTAGCTTTGCTGCTTTATCAAAGAGAACTGCTTGTTTCCCTGAATATGGAGGCATTGCTTGGTTGAGCTTCATCAACACTGCACGTACAAATGGAGTTTTATCTGAATCCTGCGATTATGCTACCATTGTGGCAGATTTTTTATCAGGAGCTTGTACTCCTGGATTCCGTGATAGAGATCACTTGAATAGCTCTTTGACTTCAAGTGCTGGTTCTACATTATGTTCACTTTGTCCTCTTGAAAATAATAATGCAACATGCTCGGCGAATAGTAGTAATATCTATTATGGGGATAAAGGTGCTTTGGAATGTCTAAAAAGTACAGCTGGAGATATTGCTTTCATCGAAGCAAAGAATTTGAATGGTAAATTTGCTAATTACTAAAACCAGAGAAGTTTTTATCTCTTAAAAATGATTTATTATCACTGAAGATAATGTTATTTTTTTCACTTTAGCGTATATTGAACAAGGACTCATTAATGCCAGCCATTATCGTGTTCTCTGCAAAAATAGTAGCTTAGCTCTTTACACAGGATTTAATGTAGATGATCAGTGTGCCCTTTCAGTAACAATCGACAGTGAGGTAATATAATTTTCTTGGAGTTACTGATTTTAGTTCAAAATATGACACTATAGTAATTATTTTGATTACTTATAATGTTTCATAGATGGTTGGACGGAAATCTGATGAACAGGATGCAAGAGTGAAGCTTACTGATATTACATTAGCATTACTGCAGATCGAAGACTGGTTGGGTTATCGTACTAACGTTCTCAGGCCAATCCATGTCTATGGTCCATTCAATGGAACCAAAGATCTTCTTTTCAAGGATTCTACCAGCGGACTTGAGAGTACTTCTTCAACCATTAAATCTGTACTTGCCTACAAAGAACTGTTCCAGCATGTGCAAACTTGTTCTAGTTCGGCTACCTTACTTCTTACTAATATAAGTATTATACTCGTGGGGGTACTGTTTTTAGTTCAGACTCTGTAATTATTTCATCTATATTCTTCATTATGTATTGTCAAGACAGTTACTTCAATCTTACTTAAATTTAAAAAGTATTGTGTTCCTTCATTAACATTGTCACCTTTGAGAAACATGTTTGCATTGCGTTTTCTAAGAATAAAACGAAGGATATGTAGTCCATGTTCGAGTTTTTCTCAACCCTATCATTAGTTATAATTTATTTTGGAACATGTTTATAAATCTTATTCTCAATTAATCATTCTTATTTAAGAAATTCATTGATAAAAATAAGATTTTGTATCAGCAATTTGCTTTAATATTATACTTACCAATTATAGTTTATTTTCATTTTCATTAACTATTTAAATGCATTGATCCCGTATTGTTTCGAGTCGTTTTATTGCTGTGTTCCGATTAGTTCCAATATCACGATCTTGTATACAAGATCGTGGTTCCAATATAAGCTTTCCGTACTGTGAAAAAGACGTCTTATGGTATACCGTGAAGTGACGTCATTGTCATACTAGTGAAAATATCCCTTATATCGGGAACACAGGGTGTTTGAATTGAGTGATGCCAAGTTGTGCACAGATTCAATTGGACATAAAACAAATTTTTGCTTCTGGAGCGATCTTCCATCGGTCATTCAAAGATATCATAAGCTATCTTTATCTAACAGAGCCTTTTCAAACATTTAATGCTTTATTCAATTATTCAGGCGAAATATTTATCCACTAACCCACCTATTCCCCGAAGTTTGAACGTTTAACTATATCCTAACGTTGTCTAATCAGTCTTACCCTAAACTAATGTAAATTCACATATAATAAACTACAATAAGATATCATTCGTACTTAATTCTTTTTCATCTCTTCAAAACTGGATAAAATTTGGATTAAAAGGTCATTTGTGTCCAATTGGGTCTTGCGCAGCTGCCCCCTTTCCCACCATTTGAATTCATGAACGGAAGGTAGGCAGTACCCATGACAGTTTTTACGACGCCGCAACTATGGCGGATGCTGCAGCGAGACAGCTCCAGTACGAGTATAAAGCGGTAATTATAAGAAAATATATTAAATTATTTTAAAAAAAAGTTGTGCTGACATTTTCTGATTCTCCACTTCAATTGTTATCCTATTTGTACGAAAATTGGATACATTTATGCCGTATGTTCAGTTTGTTTTCATACGTTTCCAAACGTTTAGGTTAACAAATTGTATTAGTTCAAAATGTTCTCGTATTTCGAAGATTCTATTTCATGAATATTGTATTTACAGAATTCCAATCTCGTTTTACAAGCTGACGTTCGGTTAATAGAAAGACGTAGCAGAGATGAAGCCACAGGTGAGGTTATGTCCCTTGTGGGCAAACTTGATGGTACTCGCATGGGTGACAGAGCACAACGTACTAAACCGGGAAAAGCTGAAGAGCGTAAAGTAAAGTATGTACATACCTTCTCATTTATTATAATAACTGTTTTTGACGTGCAGTACTTATGTAATAATCATATTATACAGGCGTCAGAAACGTGATGAAGCACAATATGATTTTGCACGAATGAAGGGAGCAACATTGCTTTCCGAGGGTGTTGATGAAATGGTTGGAATTGTATATCGTCCAAAGACTCAAGAAACACGTCAAACATATGAAGTATTATTGAGTTTTATTCAAGAAGCATTGGGTGATCAACCAAGAGATATTCTTTGTGGTGCTGCTGATGAGGTCTTGGCTGTATTGAAAAATGACAGACTCAAAGAAAAGGAAAAGAAAAAAGAAACTGAACTTTTGCTTGGATCATTGGCAGAAGAGAGATTTGCATTATTAGTGAATTTAGGAAAGAAAATAACAGACTTTGGAAGCGATGAAAAGAGTACCACTAATGAGGAAAATATTGACGAAACCTATGGGATCAATGTTCAGTTTGAGGAAAGTAGTGAGGAAGACGATGAAGATGTTTATGGAGAAGTAAGAGATAATGATGATGATGGTGATGAAGGTGAAGAAGCTAATGATGACAGAGCCATTCATGCTGAAAATGTGAGTAGATTGATTTATAGATAGAATTAAAAACACTTGTAAATATTGCTTTCTTCTTTAACATAACATAATAAATATTTTCTCCAGCTTGGTGGTGCCGAGGAAATGAAAAAAGAAAAAACTTTGCACCCATTGGATATTGATGCATATTGGCTTCAGCGAAGGCTGAGTAGAATATATGATGATGCTATGGTTTCACAAGCAAGAGCTGCTGAAGTATTAGCTGTTTTGAGGGATGCTGGAGATGATCGAGATTGTGAAAATCAACTTGTGCTCTTGTTGGGTTATGATTGCTTTGATTTCATCAAACAACTTAAAAAATATAGGCACATGAGTGAGTAAAAATTTAGTAATATATATTCGTTTAATTATTCCTAATATTCCTATAAATATTGAATTTTTACGTTTCTTATTATTAATAATTTTTTAATAGTTGCATATTGTACAATGTTGGCGTCGTCTCAATCGGAATCCGAACGTCAAAAGATACGTAATAAAATGAACGATGATCCCGCACTTGCCAAGATCTTACGTCAACTGGATACTGGCAAGGGTGACGATGAGAATGATGATACGATGGAAGCCAGAGCTCAACGTAAAAGGAGAGAAGAAAATGAAGATCAAGGTGGACCTGGTGGGCAAGTTCAGGGTACTAGGAACCTAATCGATTTGGAAGATTTAGTATTTGCGCAAGGAAGTCATTTTATGGCTAATAAACGATGTCAGCTACCAGATGGTAGTTTCAGAAAACAACGAAAAGGGTGTGTGTTGATACTTTCAAAAACAATCATGTATTTCTGTTCTTTTGCAAATAATATAGTTCACAGTAATCTCTTTTTTAATACTTTTGTTTTGTTCCTATGTTAGATACGAGGAAGTTCACGTTCCTGCCTTAAAACCAAAGCCATTTACTGAGAACGAGAAATTGCTTCCTATTGAGCAACTACCGAAATACGTCCAGCCTGCCTTTGAGGGCTTCAAGACACTAAACAGGATTCAGAGTCGCTTGCACCATACAGCTTTGGAGAGCGATGAAAATCTTCTACTCTGCGCACCTACAGGTGCTGGTAAAACAAATGTTGCTTTGTTATGTATGATGCGTGAGATTGGCAAACACATAAACGCCGACGGTACTATTAACGCCGACGAGTTTAAAATAATCTACGTCGCCCCAATGCGTTCATTGGTACAAGAGATGGTCGGTAATTTCGGCAAGAGGCTGGCGTCGTACAATTTGACCGTATCCGAGTTGACTGGTGATCACCAGTTGACCCGAGAACAAATAGCAGCAACCCAAGTAATTGTCTGCACTCCTGAGAAGTGGGATATCATTACAAGAAAAGGTGGAGAGAAGACATTCACGTCGCTCGTTCGGCTAGTGATAATCGACGAAATTCATCTTTTACACGACGAAAGAGGTCCAGTCTTAGAGGCGTTGGTTGCCAGGACGATTAGGAATATCGAAACTACTCAAGAAGATGTGCGACTGGTTGGCCTGTCCGCTACTTTGCCAAATTACCCAGATGTAGCAGCGTTTTTACGAATTAAACCGGAGACAGGACTATTCTATTTCGACAACAGTTTCAGACCGGTCGCCCTGGAGCAACAATACATTGGTGTAACTGAGAAGAAAGCCCTCAAACGTTTCCAAGTAATGAATGAGATTGTGTACGAAAAGACAATGGAACACGCTGGCAGAAATCAAGTTCTGGTGTTTGTGCATTCGCGAAAGGAAACTGGAAAGACTGCACGAGCAATCCGCGATATGTGCTTGGAGAAAGATACACTGGGTCAGTTTCTAAGGGAAGGTTCCGCATCGATGGAAGTCCTGAGAACAGAAGCTGAACAAGTAAAGAATCAAGAACTCAAGGATTTACTTCCTTATGGATTCGCTATTCATCACGCCGGGATGACGAGAGTTGACAGAACTCTAGTTGAAGATTTATTTGCCGACAGGCATATACAAGTTCTGGTGTCCACGGCTACTCTGGCTTGGGGTGTTAATTTACCAGCTCATACAGTTATAATTAAAGGAACGCAGGTTTACAATCCTGAAAAAGGTAGATGGGTTGAACTTGGTGCTTTGGATGTTCTGCAAATGTTAGGACGTGCTGGTCGGCCTCAATACGACACCAAAGGCGAGGGTATTCTTATAACAAATCACAGTGAATTACAGTACTATTTGTCACTCCTTAATCAACAACTTCCTATCGAGTCACAATTAATTACCAAAATGTCTGACATGTTGAATGCTGAGGTTGTTCTTGGTACCATTCAGAACATCAGAGACGCTGTCACTTGGCTCGGTTATACTTATCTCTACATCAGAATGCTACGGTGTCCCACTCTGTATGGAATAAGTCATGACAAGCTTAAGGAGGATCCTCTCCTGGAAATGCACAGGGCGGACTGTATTCATTCTGCGGCTGTTGCATTGGATCGCAGTGGTTTAATTAAATACGACAGGAAGTCAGGAAATTTCCAGGCTACAGAATTGGGAAGGATTGCTTCTCATTATTACTGCACCCACGAAACTATGTCGACATACAATCAACTGTTGAAAAGAACTTTGAGCGAGATAGAACTATTCAGGGTGTTTTCGCTGTCGAGTGAGTTCAAGAATATCAACGTCCGCGAGGAAGAGAAATTAGAATTGCAGAAACTCATGGAGAGAGTGCCGATTCCGATAAAGGAAAGCATTGAAGAACCAAGTGCTAAGGTTAACGTGCTTTTACAAGCATATATCTCGCAACTGAAGCTAGAAGGTTTTGCGTTAATGTCAGACATGGTTTTCGTGACTCAGTCAGCATCTCGATTGATGAGAGCAATCTTCGAAATTGTGTTGTTCCGCGGTTGGGCTCAGTTAGCAGATAAGTGTTTATCATTGTGCAAGATGATAGATCGAAGAATGTGGCAGTCCATGTCTCCACTGAGACAATTCAGAAAGATGCCAGAAGAAATTGTTAAGAAAATCGAAAAGAAGAACTTCCCTTGGGAGCGTCTCTATGACCTGGGGCCCAATGAGATCGGTGAATTGATTCGAGTACCAAAATTAGGAAAAACAATTTACAAGTATATCCACCAGTTTCCTAAATTGGAATTGTCGACGCATATTCAACCTATCACCAGATCTACTCTTCGCGTTGAACTCACCATCACACCTGACTTTCAGTGGGACGAAAAGATTCACGGTGCATCCGAAGCTTTTTGGATACTAGTCGAGGACGTTGATTCTGAAGTGATACTGCATCATGAGTTCTTCTTGCTAAAAGCCAAATACGCGAGTGATGAACATCTTATTAAGTTTTTCGTACCAGTCTTTGAACCATTACCACCACAGTATTTCCTGAGAGTAGTGTCAGACAGATGGATTGGCGCTGAGACTCAACTTCCAGTAAGTTTTCGGCATTTGATTTTGCCAGAGAAGAATCTCCCGCCGACTGAGTTATTGGACCTACAACCTTTGCCCATCACAGCTTTGCGGAATTCTAAGTTCGAGAATTTATACGTTGACAAGTTCCCACAGTTCAATCCAATTCAAACGCAAGTATTTAATGCGGTGTATAATTCCGATGACAACGTATTTATCGGGGCTCCCACGGGATCCGGTAAGACTACTATTGCAGAGTTTGCTGTTCTGCGTTTATTAACACAGAATTCTGAAGGTCGTTGCGTCTATATGGTCAGTAAAGAAGCCTTGGCAGAATTGGTTTATGCGGATTGGCTTGTTAAATTCAATCAACAACTTGGTCGCAAAGTCGTTCTTTTGACTGGAGAAACCGGAACGGATTTGAAGCTTCTGGCTAAAGGACAGATTATCATTACAACAGCAGACAAATGGGACGTACTTTCTCGTAGATGGAAACAAAGAAAAAATGTACAAAATATTCAACTCTTTATTGTGGATGAGTTACAGCTGATAGGCGGTGAAGAGGGACCAGTACTGGAAGTTGCGTGCTCCAGAGCAAGATACATCTCTTCTCAATTGGATAAACCAACCAGGATAGTAGCACTCTCAGCTTCATTGGCAGATGCCAAAGATGCATCACAGTGGCTAGGTGCTCCGGCAGCAGCAACCTTTAACTTTCATCCTTCCGTTAGGCCCATCCCGTTGGAACTTCACGTCCAGGGTGTAAATATTACTCACAATGCATCAAGACTATCCGCCATGGCGAAACCAGTGTACAATGCTATATTGCGTCATGCACCCCATAAACCAGCCATAGTCTTTGTACCTACTAGAAGACAGGCACGGCTGACAGCCATCGACTTGCTCACATTCACAGCTGCGGAAGGGCAGCCATCTAAATTTTTCCATGCCGAAGAAGCTGATATTAAACCATTTTTGGATAGAATGAGCGACAAAACTCTGAAGGAGACTTTATCACAAGGCGTTGCTTACCTTCATGAAGGTCTATCGGCCGATGATCGTCATCTCGTTGAACAGTTATTTGACAGCGGTGCTATACAAGTGGCAGTGGCTACGCGAGATCTCTGCTGGGGATTGTCAATTAGTTCTCATCTTGTTATTGTCATGGATACTCAGTGTTATAACGGGAAAACGCACGCTTACGAGGATTATCCTATAACCGATGTTTTGCAAATGGTCTCGCGCGCTAATAGACCCCTGGAAGACGACGACGCTAAATGTGTCTTACTTTGTCAGAGTTCGAAGAAGGACTTCTTTAAAAAGTTTCTAAACGAACCATTACCCGTCGAAAGTCACTTGGATCATAGACTGCATGATCACTTCAATGCAGAGATTGTAACAAAAACTATAGAGAACAAGCAAGACGCCGTTGATTATTTGACCTGGACCTTCTTGTATCGAAGATTAACTCAAAATCCAAATTATTATGGTCTACAGGGTGTGACACACAGACACCTGTCAGACCACTTATCCGAATTGGTCGAGAGTACTCTAAGTGATTTGGAACAAGCCAAATGCGTCGCTGTTGAAGATGAAATGGACACACTGCCGCTAAATCTTGGCATGATAGCCGCGTACTACTATATTAATTATGCCACTATAGAATTATTCAGTTTATCTCTAAATAACAAAACAAAGATCAGAGGTCTGCTGGAGATCATCTCAGCTGCTGCTGAGTACGAGAACGTTCCTGTAAGACAGCGAGAAGAAAATTTGCTGAGAAGTTTAGCAGCCAGATTACCACATGCTCCACAAGTCAACAGAATGGCTGATCCACACGTGAAGGCACAGCTATTACTGCAAGCTCATTTATCAAGGATTCAACTGGGTCCTGAACTACAGAAGGATACAGAACTTGTTCTCGGAAAGGCCGTACGCCTGATTCAAGCTTGCGTCGATGTCCTCAGCTCATCCGGTTGGTTGGCACCAGCTGTTGCTGCCATGGAACTGGCTCAAATGGTCACACAAGCCATGTGGTCTAAGGATTCGTACTTGAAGCAATTACCACACTTCGCAGGGGACACTATAAAACGCTGTACAGACAAAGGAGTGGAAACTGTCTTTGATGTCATGGAATTGGAGGATGATGACAGGAATAGGCTTCTACAATTGACAGATTCGCAAATGGCTGACGTTGCCAAATTCTGCAATCGTTATCCTAATATTGAAATGTCTTATGAAGTTCAAGATAAAGATAAGCTGCGCAGTGGTGGTACAGTTAACGTTGTCGTTCAATTGGAAAGAGAGGATGAAGTGACAGGACCGGTGGTTGCGCCATTCTTCCCACAGAAGAGAGAAGAGGGTTGGTGGGTCGTCATCGGAGACCCCAAGACAAATTCTTTGTTATCTATCAAAAGGTTAACTCTTCAACAAAAGGCCAAAGTTAAGTTAGATTTTGTTGCCCCTGCGCCAGGTCAACATTCCTATACTTTGTACTTCATGAGCGACGCTTACCTGGGATGCGATCAAGAGTACAAATTTACCATCAACGTCGGAGAATACGAATCAGATGCTAGTTCGGGTTCAGAGTCCGATTAAATAAATTGTTTGATTCCTACATTTTTTATAAATTTGAATCACCTGCTGCTTTCGTTCAGGAGCACATTATCAAGTCACGCTGTAATTACCTGAATTGCGACATCCTTCAGTTGTTCTATTCGATTCCATAAATGTCTCTTTTAATTGGATTCCCAGGAGAGTTCTAAAACTTGTTCGCTCTAGAAAAGAAAAATTGTGGGCGTGGTGAGTTTATTTTTCACACTATAGAAAACGTACACGATATATATCCTCTGTATTTTTTATTAGGACTTAACTGCTAATGTAAGGTATCCGTTAACAAAGAGTTGTAAGTATTGATGTCCGTGATTGTAATACTGAAATGAAAAAAAAAAATATTAAAAATAAGAAAACTACTTGTGTCTTTTATTCAGTTTGAAAAACTTTAAGGTTAACACGGTAGTCCAATAATTCAATTATCTTGTAACGATGATTTTCATGTATCAATAACAACACGGAAGTATTGTTATTGAAACAAACTGTGATAGCTGTACCTATATCAATTATTAAATTGTTAATCGTTTACGCATTAACATTTAAGGCTCTGATAGGAACACGCATTACGATTTGAATGTTATGTTTTATACAATAATTAACATGTATACAGGGTGTCTTGAGGATTGCAAAGAATTAATAACAATCGCATGGTAACATCGATATATTACAGATGGGTGCTAAACGCGTTCACAAAAGTGTCAATGTGCCGTAACAAAGTACAAAGTTCAGTAATCCTTTAAAATCCTATTTTTTTCTTTATTTACGTTAGAATCATTATCTGTAGGAAGATACGTGAATTGAATAAGGATCTAAGAAAATTACCAAAAGATCCCCGAGACACCATTTCTCTGTCGTAGATGAGTCCACGTAAGATTTTCATTTTTTAAATTATTCTCGTCAATAAGCTTCATGTCGAAGTGAAAAAAGTATAAATAATTATATCAGAGACAAGTTACAATTTTTTTTACCAACAACCTGAATAATGCCGTAATTTTTTTCAATATTTTGTCATCTCTGGAGTAAGATATATGCGCAGACATAATTGTACGCTTTGCAACGCGTAACTTATGTAACAATGTCACTTATACGTTACTTAAAAAGAGATTGGATATGCTCAATGGAAAGATATATTTTAATGTCACTGGACGAGAAGGGACGGATGCCTCTCAATCTGTTTTAAAATCAGACGAACTTAATTCGTATCAATTCTTAGCACCTCCAAACATTGATTTTTCTTTAAATAATTCTCTAAAGTGTTAATTAATATATATTATATCTATATAGTGTATAGCTATCTCGAGTACATCATCTAAGGTACGAACAATGAACACCTAATCGGAAATTGCTCACTCGTTATCATTCGTACGTAATACGCATCTTTGAAGCCTGTACGTGTAGACCGGTGCTGTAGAACTCTGTTACGAATAAAAGATAACTGACTCGCTCTAAGATGAGGTACGCGTACTGATAATACAAATATAATCTGTACTTATAAAACTTTATCGTAAACAAATTTCACGATAAACGTAACGATCTATGGTGCAAGTTCTCTGATAAGAATTATACACTTGATATTATACTTGGCACACTCCATTTCCGTTTGGGACGAGGCTGGCAAAAGGTTTCTCACGATCATTTAGATAAATTGGAGACTTTTACACGGGTGCACTGTTACGCATTCACACTCGGTACATACATGTATACATGATGCATTCGCACTAACGGACATGTACGAGATCTCAGCTTAAAAATACGATTTAATCGTGGAAAAACGTGGGACTACCAGCCACCATTTAATAACCTAGATTCATCTAGATCTGAATATATTTACATGTACGAAGCACAAAAACCTTCTATGCGTAATCTTCGACTAATATTAATGATAAATAATGATTCAATGACTTCCTGTAGCTGATGGTTGTACACTCAGTTAATAGAGCCTACTTTCCTGTAGCTCGCGCCGTTACTCCCCCTTTTACTCGTCAACTATGTTTATTGTCGATGTGATTGGAAATTTCTTCTAATTGAAAATTAATGCCTTTATCTTCTCGGTTGCTGATTTTTTAAATTTATAATTAAGCTTTCTATTATGAAGGAACAGTACGAGACCGGTTTTATCCATGAAAGTTGATATCTTGAGGAAAAACGACGATGGCCATTCCGTGACACGATAAATGATTGAAGCTTTGTTGGAGCTTATATTAAAGAAGAAAGAAAATGTCGCGGTACTCATTGAGCGTTCAATAAAATTCTTTCATTTATCTAGTGGTCTCTTTGTTTATAGGTGAATATCAGGCTAATGGAAATCTTGAAGAGTTGTAACAGGTATAAAATGTAATTCTATGTAACTCCGATAAGACGATATGGTGTTTACGAAGGATCTGCGACGCGAAAGCTTCCGTTGTTGAATTGTGCATTATCTAAACAGTGGAAATTAGACGGAGACTCTGAAGCCCTCGTGCTTCGCTATATCTCTGCTGTTTTTTCTTCTTCAATTTTCACAGGAAACGAGAACTAGTTCCATCGGATCTCCATCAGGATCCTGAGGCGATGTTTTACTGAAGACTGTCGACGGCCGTGTCGTCCAGAGTATGAAGCCAATTAAAGATCATCATGTTCCTTTCGTATTTAGATAACTGTTTTCCCCGTTCTCTCTCGACGTCTCTAACCGTTAGAGGAAGATTTCTTCCCTTTCGACCAGAAACCGAGGAACCGGAAGTAGGTGGTGCTCCAGGTACTGCCAGAGTCGTTCCTGGACTCGTTTGTGCTGCTGACGCTGCCGCTTCAAGTCTGTCCAGATTGAATTCACTCTGGGATAGGCGTTCGAGTGCTCTGTACGTGGTCAGCAATCTGTCGAAAGAGATATTCTTATATTTCTTCATCCTATTTTATTTTTCTATTTAGCTTGCCGATCTCTCACAGCAGCTTTCTATTGGTTCGGTTACGATCGACAATCGGAGCAAATCAATTTCACTTCACGGTGAATCTTAGGATCGACCTTGACGATATTTATTCACGCGATCTCTTCCGGCTTTCCAAATGGACAGATCCAAAATATTGTACCTATTCAAAGCTATGATACTTATGCAATACTCTTCCGTATCTACAGCAGCAAGATGCCACGTTATACGAGTCTGTTGTTACTACTGTAAGATTTAATAAAAAATGATAACTAACCTTCGACGAATGTAATTCTGCCGAACCTTCTTGTTGACTGATCTGACCAGGTCGGCGGCGGTAAAGGGAATCGGTGGTGGATGTGGTGTCACTAGTGGTTGTTGAGTAGCACCACCATGAGGACTAGGTAATTGAGAAGTACTGGCGATATCCCCCACTGCAACCCAGGTACTACAGGATCTCGAGGCGTGATCTAGTCTTGCCTGTTCCAGAAGAAGACCATTCCTATGAGCGCAATCTAGGGCTAGTGCTGAAACAGCTGATCGGAGACCTCGAGGCCCAGAGGCGTCTGGACTTGGTAATTGAGACACGTCACTGGTACTGAAACTCTTTTGCAGTCCCAATGCAGAAGACAGAGCGCCGCAGCTGCGGATCAGTTCTGTTTCCTCCTCGAACCACAGTATTTCCGGAATGTCAGCTGACCTAATGGCAAAGAATTATCTTATTAATTAATTATCACCTCGCAATTACGTCCATAAACTTTAGCATATTATCCTGACAGTGTAATCTATTATCATTTGTATACTCAGTACACGATCCAGTTTACGAGTACAAAATTGATCGCCGGCATTGATATCAAGCATATTACAATTATTTTCAGAACTAAATTAGTCCCCTTAATTACAATGGCAATTGACACTTTGAGTCATGACAAACTCCCTTAATGAATAGACCATCGTTATATAATGTATGGTATACATATACGTATCCATCCAGACACTGTATTTACCGAAACGTACAAGCCGCAAGGCTCGATACGTGCTCCGGCAGTTTTAACGATCGCACGTCACTAATAAACTGAATTTCCTGAACCAAGAACGTAGCTAACGAAAAATATCGACGATTAGATTACGTATTCGAAATTCTCTGCGAATTCTTACTGAATTCTAAATCTTACATTTCTATTGCACTATCAATACGGAACGACCAATCGATCGAGACTGTTCTTCATCGTACGATTTTAAAACTTGTATTCTCCGAAGGATACTAAAAGAAAAATAATAACATTAGCCACGTGTAGCTGTTAATCTTATCACTAATTGCACATTGAATTCGATTGAGCCATCCGTGACAAATGATCCACGATGATAATACAGTCGTACCTAACACTATGTTTCACTGATTAGTCATTTCGTCATAACTTCCTGTTTTTATACTTATTGTATGTTTATTACCTATTGCCTTGAATCTGACGATTATCCGGATTGGGGGATGGTCCACGACCTGCTAGTTGCATATCACTGTAAGATTTAAAGGCAACTAATCGGTTTCCACTTTTCACGTCACTTGTGATCGAGGAAACGCTAAATAACGACAAATCGGTAGTAACGCTCTCGTGACTCGGTGAACGTAGCATTCGGCATGCGATCTGAACAACAGGCGTCTGCACCGTCGGCAAAGTGTTCGTAGACGGTGGCACTGGTGACGCCGACTTAGCTTCGGTTTCGGACATTTTGACAAAACTAAACTTCCTTTTTATGTTAATTAATTAGTATCACTTTTTAATTTACACCATTATTTATACGTTATTATTTGCGTACGGTTTAAATGGTGTACTTATTTCATGGTTGATTTTAATGTACAGTCAATGGTAATATTTACGCGATTACTTTACGATTTCATTGCTCCCTCATTTAGGGCGAGATGCTCATCGTTTACACATGATTGTACAGAATTTTCGAGTTGATTATTCACTTTCTTGTTAACGTCTTCGAATGTGTATTCATATTTTCAAGTCGAAGTTTTTCGTTGTAATAACTTTCCAGGGTTGCCGTTCCTTTCCTAGGCAATGGCGGTGAGGGGTGGCGGGCTGCTTAATATCCTGTAAGAACGGAGGACGAGGAATTAATAAGCCACGCGTAATAATACTCAATGAAAATCGAGGTCGTAACGTCACGCTGATCAAGCCTTGATGGGAAGTTTTAATGAAATTGCTGTTACGATCATTTGAATGATATTACCTGGATTTAAATGCTATTTTATTCCCATTGACATCGCAGAGCCTCGATACATTTAGCAATTAAAATGCGGAACCGAAATAATGAGAAAAAACATTAAAAGATCCCTTTATGTAATTAAAGACTTTGCACTTTCTAAAGTAAAAGACCGTCGATGAAAGACGGCTTTGAATTTTTAATAGACTTTCATACAGAATACTAATGTACCGCATATATATAATAATATTCTCAGCGCTCGGGTGTTGTTTTAATTAAATTTAAGTTAATGAATGGAAAAACAATTGACATTGTTCCAATTTACATAAATTTCAAATCGAGTTACTTTGGCTCGTAGTAATCCCAGATGATTTGTGGTGTCCGAAAGTCGTGATCAAATCGCCCAATAGTACAGAAAATTGTCTTTAGAACATGTTCAGGATGACTTTTGAATATACGTGTTATCCTGGATTATTCTCAAATCGCTCGTATGTCATATACAGTGATACTATGTCACAGCTGAAGTTGGATATATGTATAATTATGCAAGTTCCAAGTATCCACAGGCATTCTTCTTTCCGTTTATTTTTTATGTATTTTATTTGAACGAAGCCCGCCACTTGTCGCTCGTATCGACAGACGTTAACGGCCTCTTTCGTGTACTTGTAAATTCCCATATGGTTGAACGCTCCGGATATAAGTAGAACCAGATATGTTTTGACGCACGACAATACACAAGAGACTACGGTGGCCTAGACGCCTGGACCTGTCCTCTCGTCAATGCCAGGGCTATTCTTCCTTACTGTCTATGGTATGACTCTCTAGCACTCGCCCTTCTTCTCCCTAACCTCTATTCGCTCTATGTTACCGTCTGGTCAGACAAGTCCGGAGTTATCTAATGGTAAGTCTGCCACCGTATAAGTACAACTGACATTCGCGTGCTAGCGGCCCATCCGTAGCACCATGTCACAGTGCCGTATCTAGAATGGGAGCTCTACTCGGGAGCAATAGCTCTAAATGACTAGGGAAAAAACGAGGCTCATTCGTGCGAAGTAAAAGGGAGAAAGCGAGAGGCGGAACCCTCATAAAATGTTTTTGAGCGTTCCTGGTCCTTGCGGTTCGAGTATGAATGGAGGATAAAAATCCGGCATAACCAGAGTTCTACGGTATTATTAACCTAGTGTGTTATTTAACAATCAACCCATGACTCACTGTGAAATGACTGAAGTATCTATTATGTCACTGAGGTTTGGTAACTTTAATCTTTTCAAATAATTTACTGGCGAGGCCGTACGTAATACTGCACACGTTGTTCGCAAGGTCTGTTCTCGTTATCTATACTTTCTGCACTTTTCAAAAAGTACAAATTCTTATTGGATGACATTTTAAAGTGACCAATGAGAATCTGCACTTTTTCAAAAGTGTAGGTAACGAGAACAAACCTATTGTAATATGGCATATTATTCGAATTAAATAGGATATCTTCTTGTCAAATTTATATATATTTAGTCTGCACAGTATTGCATGTAAAGAATACATGCATGTAAATGTTTATTTGTTTCTGTTGATTGTATTCTGCAAAATTACACTCTGTTGCATTTATTAATAGAGATGCGAGAAACATTTGTCATATCTTGTATTCGTAGAAGACAGAAAAAATGTTTTTTCTTACTTTAAATTTCTTTCTAATTACCGTAACTGCCCATTTTCCAAGCAAACTATTTTCAATGGTTTGTTTATAATAGACATCCAACTCCTTTTACACGATTGCACTTCTCCACAGGTTATGATTACTGTGCGCTCACGCACATGAAACTAGTGATGTTTAATTGACTGAGGAAGCACGAATCCACCTACCTCAGAACAGAGAAACAGTCGTCGATAGAAGTTACTCCACGTACCGCACACGCACTACGAATGATACGAGGTGCCGTGTCCGAGATGAATGGCGATGGTTTCCGGTGAGCTGCCTGTGCCGGGTTGCTTACTGCACAGGCGTCGATCGATAGGGGTGAGAGAGGTCGTCGCGACGCTACTGATTTCGCCAGGGTGAGTTACTCCTACGAGAAGCAGCATTCTGTCCATCTACCCTCAAAGTTACAACAAGAACTCTTAATGACGCTATCGATGCTGTGCATAGGTATTTAGCATAAATATTTTTTTACCCAGATGTACCAGCTGAGCAGAATATCATCGTTCGAAAATCTTCACTGTCCACATACATACATACTGAATCGGACAGCTCGACTTTTCGTAGTCTGCGTTCGTAAATTATACAGTGTTTGTTCTCAGCTGTATGAAAAATCGATCCGAGTCCAAAGGAAGATCTCGAGTACCGTTCGTCTTGGTAGGCGGAACGGGGTGGAAAAATTGTTAATTGCCCAGCTTGGGGTATAGGAACTTTCATAAATTACTAGGCGACCACGTCCAGCAAGGAGCATTAGGTCAAGTTTCCATGCCGCTGGCGCTCAAAGAGTACTGGGGGCAGAGAACAGGTAAGTTCAGAGCGAAGGGGCATAAAGACTAAAGAAAAAGAAAACTATATTTTTCCTAGTTGTCAAAGTGAACCTAATCAACCACTGTTACATTTATGCATCCTTCTGAAATGGGCAACTGCCACGAGTCCTTTGGCTAAGCCGATCAACGCGGATTAACGCGATTTAGGTTAGGTTACCTGATGGCGCTTCGATTTAACTACAAGCATGAAATGAAGAGCGGGGAAAGAACACCACTTCTCTAACGTGCTCACGACGTGCGGGTTCAACTTAAAACTGGGACATACCACTTCACCAAGAGGCTGAGTGGTGTCCCGCTGACAAGGTGATTGCACCGCTTTAATGCGCTACGATACGGCACGTCAAGATAGTCCCTGCATTACGAAACGGACTGTCCGGCATTCAGGTAAACTAGGAATATTTTCAACTAAAACTACTTTTCTTGTGCCAAGTATAGACCTTCATGAATATCAGACCAGAAGCGTATCGATCCCATTGTTCACTGAGGTCAAAGTGTACCAGAGTACATAACGGGCTATGGTAACCGAGCATATCCATACAGTACGGTATATATACGACTTTGAAAAAAGTTCCTGGTAAGCTGGTGCTACCAGTAGCTGGTATTCAACATACCCCGAGGTACATCAACCCTGGTCATACATCTCTATCACAAGAAGAATCTCCAGTGAATTCGTTTAAAGAATAGAAACTTGGCTGTTGATTGGAAGCTTAAGGAAAGCCAGAATATTAATAGTGTGTAATGTTCGCTCGTGCTAATGCGTATTTTCCCTCGGGTTAGCGTGCACGACGTAATATGCGATCTAGGCGTACACGCACCTTCCTCGGCCACATGCGAGCTTTAACACAGAAGAAACTTTATAGCTCTATGTGCAATCTCAACTCTTGTCAAGTGTTCTCGAGGTTACTTTACGCTAGGTACGATCGATCGTACGAGTATACTCCGCTTATTTCTTTTTTGCTGTAGGGCAGTATCTTCCGTTTCCGATATTCTGTCCAGACAGTAGCCACACGTATCTCACCCAAAGAATGCTCCTACACCCAATACGGCATCAATCTAACGGCTGAAAGGTATCAATTTACCTAGTGTACGAAGAGGAGGTTATGCCATGATGAAAGGCACGATATATTGGTTTATTCAACATACATCATACGTATATATATATATATATATATATATATATATATATATATATATATATATATATATATATATATATATATATATATATATATATATATATATATATATATATATATATATATATATATATATATATATATATATATCATTTCGCGTATAAAAATGATTACGTATCGGAATGAATTAATTTTCGTTTTCCATGTAATACAAATTTCACTTTCTATGTTCTGCGCTGGCAAAAATTATTTTTATACGACTGTACAACGTGAAGAAGTTTAGTTAAAACTGCTCGATGGTAGTTGGCACGAATTTATTCACTTAGTTGATGCGTATAGAACATAGAAATAGGCACATACGTGTATATTCGCAGTAAGCGGGTGCGTGGGCGCCACATACGTGATCTGGTGTACGAAAGTGTGAGAGAAGAAGAGGATGTGTCTGCTGGCAGTTTGCGTTTAGTTTGGACTTTAGTTAGTGACGGTGTCTCTCACGAGGAGGACCTGCTGCCGGAGATCGATTCGATTTACGCGCGAGAACGATTGTTTACGTCGCGAGACCGACAGATTTATTCAATTGTCATTACGAGAACGGTAAGTGTCATGGGAGGGCTCGCTAGGATTCTTATTCGTTATGTGACGTTAATGGGTACGAAGATAATTTTATGGAAGGTTATCGATGCTGTATTGTAAGTTGTGATGATTTTTTAGATCCTGGCTTTCATATATTAATAGAACAGACACCATTCGTATTATTCAGTCTATGCATAAATAACGATCCAAATGATTGTACCGTTGTAAGTTTTTACCACTTGTATTTGCTACTAACGAATTAAAGCACTTGGACACGAACGTAAGTTGCAGAAGTTTGTCCAGTCTTTCAACTCGAAATTCATTTATTTTGCATGTATAATGCTACTTTCAGTTTCTGTATGATCGAGAATGGAAAATTTGATGGCTGTAGTTTCCAATGTATTGGCAGATACTCATGAAAGATACGGAGAGCTGAGGTTGTCGTGTATATGAATGCGTATCGAATCAGATATACATAGGTACCAGGGTATTCAGCCCAAATGCACCAGGCGAGTGTGGTTTTGTTATATGAATCCGATGGAGGCGCCAGCTTTTCAGGTGACACGTTTGGACTGAATAACCCGGTATGTGAATCCTTATTGATCCATTATCGATTCGGAAGACTTCAGAGTCTCAAATGTCTGAGTACAGATGTTGGGAACATCTTCTATTTTCATGCCGGCTTGTCATCCCTATATTCAGACGGCGTTTATACATCCGCGTCAACAACCGTGTCGCTTTGCTCTCGTGGTCTTTTCGGTAGATGGATGAATGCAGCACCAGCATATATTTCTGATGACATAACCGTGATGCTTGCGTTGGAGTTCTTATCTAGGGAAGGAATGAGCATAGATGGGTCTCTCTTTCATGCGTACACTTTGTATATAGACGTCGCCGTCCTTTATTTAGAGTCGAGGGACGTCTCGTCCGAGCGTCGCGAAATAACGTACGCTCGGACGCGGATCATCTGCGTTGAATAATATTTCAGTGGACGTGTATTTTGTCTTTTTTCTCCTTTTTTTCTCTTTAGATCTCCGGTCGCCATGCGACGACTTGGAAACTTGCCACAGGGTTCCGGATGACGCATACCGTGTTATATTTCGAAAGGTCATCGCTGCCAATCGAATTCTCACCTGATAATTTTGCTTGACAATAATTATCATTACCTGCCGTTTACAAAGATATCGGGTGTTTATAATACATATTATCTTGTAGGTGTCTTTGGCACGGTTGCAAAACGCTGAGGTGTCATCCTCGTTCTCCTGTTTCGATTTCCATAAATCAAGACGCGATGAAGTCTCGATTATTTTCTCGTTAGAGCCAGCAGTTGGTAAACCGTGTACCACGACCCACGCCATCTTACATCGATCTTGACCGACATTGCTGTTTTCTTGATGCAACCATCACCATATTCATTTTCCTCTGAAACGATTCTCTTGAGATGGAGAGTACTACAATTATCTTGTGTCTTGGAGAGACAAATTTGAATCGGAAGACTATTAGGAGCACCAGCGTAATCGATTCGTGAGATACCCGAATTATATACAGAAATATCGATCTTGTCTCTGAGTATACTTTTTTTGCTTGCGCACGTTCATAATCATGCCGATTGAAAAACACCCACGTTAAGAGCCGTCGGTATTGGTCAAGAGCTAACAGCTTTTTTGGTTCTTTATATATATTATACAATCCGTAATTCTTTTGCATTAACGGGCTATTCTCGAGACTGTTGTTTTTCAGGAAAGATTCGTTGAGAAAAAAAAAAGAAGACGCATTTTTTATTATAGCTAATGAAAAATAGTCTCCAGTCATCACGTTATTCCAGTCTCGTGTAGAAAGGATGAAAACGAAGGGAGATACAAACATTTCCATTCGGTATAACTCAAGAGACTCCAGTAACCTCGTGGTGCATGAATGTACTCGTATATAAAAATTGCTCGATTTTCAAGCACGAAAGTTGGGAACCATCGGAGGGCGCGGCTAACAGGCCACGGCTATGAATAGCGTTGCGATGCCGACATGAAGTCAGCCACCGCGACGCTCGGGTGCTTAATGTCGCAAAGTCACACGGGGTCGGGCTCACCTGGACCTTCGAATAGTTGACCGTCCATCCCTTTTTATTTTTCTTTAATTACATTCTTTGTCAAATTTATAAATTAGTTCACAGATCGTTTTGGGTTTACGGTATCGACGAGTTCACCATCTGCTACCAAAGGTCCATGACGTTTGGACTAATAGCTCCTTCATAAATTTCGCGCGGATCCTCATGGCGCAGGTTATTTATAATCTGCCGAGGTCGTATCAAAGGGTGGCCTATTTTTCTCCGTCAGTTCTTTCTAGACGAAACAGTTGCTCTCCATAAATCAGCATTGCCGAAACTTTTCCGTTGCTGCTGGAACGAGGAAGGAATCGACCAAGTGGAAGATGGTCGACGTTCTGATAGGCATGACGAATTGAATTCTCCTTTTTCTTCATCCAGTATAGGAGACTTGTAAATTAGATTCGCTCTCTTTTAAGCATCCACCCGTCCATAAAACGATTGAATAATGTCCCCTGTGAGCACTACTTAGTAATGATTTTTTTTACGATGTGCAATGAGGCGAATGAAGACACCGACCAGGTCCATTCATCTCGGATCAATTAAATTATCTTTACGAACACGCGTATCCCATTTCTAAAGCACGCGTCACGTGTATGTCTATACGTATGTATATTTACCGTTTACGCGTAGGACCTTGTGAAACTGAACTTATTTCCCCGAAGAATCACAAACCAAATGGCGTCATTTCCGTATCGGTGTCGTTACGAAAGCCGAGACTAAGAAAGCATATTGAAACGAGAGCAAAACGAACCAAAGGCATGTCTACTTTCCCACGTCCTCCGGTGTAACTGGCGCTGCAAACATTCAACTATTCCTTGTCGGACGGTCTCAGTTGACTTTGCGGAAGTCTAACGCTCGAGCGATTAGCATTAAAGTAATCTTTTTTTACTGTTTTACAAGAACCAATTACGCATCTTTGAGAATCTTGTGTTTATCGGGACGTGGCTGTTGTTGCTGAATTTTTTATATTAAGAAGCTCTTGCAACATTACGTCAATCGTGTATCATTTATATTTACCTTGTTTGCATTCCTTGGAAATTTCATACGCACTGCAGTGGTTATTGGTTTCACGTCTGTAGAGACGTTAGTGGCCACGTAATCGTGTGCAGTGATTTAACTGTGATACTTTTTAATTGATAAAGTTATTTTTGTTGAGTTCGAGGAACCGGTTGCCATCTACGTTTTTCTTGCATTGGGATTAAGTGTTTACACAGACGGATTGGTCAGAGTGATTTTTAACGGTCCTATTAGTCATGGTACGTTTATAGTAGTAGGAAAGTCAGGTCTAGTGGGAAGACATTTGAATACAGTTATCTATAGATCATGATGGATCTTCGCTTGTGAGGAGTTTATTAATGATAGCTTTTGGTATTGTGCTTTTTTTCACAGAGACGATGATGAACCCCTCAGCGGGAGACACCGTCAACCCAACGAAGACGAGTTTAACGACTGGGGAGACTCCTGATGGAGGTAATCGCCGTCCTCCAGCCCGGACTGAATCGAACCCCGTGGCTAGGAAACGACAGCTGGAACCTCTGTCCACGAAAACGGAGATCCCCACGAAGACCCCGCGACATGGTGAACATCCCCAGGACAATGCTAGAAGCAATAAGCAAGTGGCACGGATGTCCCAGGTAGGGAATGGGAACCCCATGCGAATACGAGGTGGTTCCTCCCTGGCGACGACGTTGGTCCCAAGTTCCCATGTCGAAAAACCCACCATTGATTCTCCTATGAGAGCTCCGTCCGCTCCGATGGAGCCTCCATTGGATGATGATCGACTGAATATACCGAAGAGTAGCGAACCACAGACTTCGGATGATCCTGGAGTATCTTCATTGTCTAAAGACAATGATAAGACACGTGGGTTAGAATGCCCGACTTCTTCCGACTCTCAAGAAACTAGCACTAGAATAAAAATAAAGGAGCAAAATGTCCAAGATAACGATACTCCAAAGTCTCTGAAGAGGCCACCCGAAGACTTAGGATCTAATGCTAAGATACAACGAAAAGAAGACCCTGTGGTCCAAGTATCAATTAAGATTATTGAATCTCAAGAAACTTCCAGGACTGTACCCAAGGTAACGTCGATTCCTGTCACAACCCGTGACCCACAAATTGACCAAGAAGTCTCAAAAGACGAAAGTGATATCGAACTGAGACAAGTTCCTCAGGATGAGTTGAGGAGTGAAGAAGTCAGAGTGACAAAGAAGCCACCGATATATCCGGAGGGACCTCAGAAACGTGCTGCCAGGACCGTTAGGCGTGACGATGCTGCTCGACTTCGAAAAACAATACAGTGGCTCGAGGAAGGTGCACGTAGGATGCGAGAGGATCTTGCGGCTACAAGAGCTGAGCTTCACGAGGAGAGAAAAGCTGCCAGGATGGCGAGGAGGGAATTGGACACTGCGGTGAGGGAAGCTCGAAATATGGAGGCTGCCAAACACCAGCAGATTATTTCTGAGCTGAAAATCAGGTAAGCACAGGAATGGATCATAGGCTTGTGTCTTTCGGTATTTTCCGTAATTGAACCATTCGGCCGATGGCAAAAATCAGTCGGTGCCATTGGATGAAATTTAATAACCGCAACCGTGGTTCAGTTACGGATTGTACCCTTTGCTACGTGCATTTCAAGTATTTTTAATCGCTTCTTGAAAAACTGTTGGTGCTTTTTGCTTGATTACTCTCTGGCCTGTGTGTGTGTGTGTGTGTATATATATAGTATATATATATACAGCGTACTCTGTATCGTGGAACGCTATTATCAACCAATAGCGAACCAGACAGCTAGGATAGTCTTGCTAGCAACTCAATTTGCTCTCGCGTAATGCAGTTTGCGGCACTTCAGGCGCATTTTCGCCGATCGATATTGCATTTCTTAGAACTTCTCTTACCATCCTGTCACTTTTTGCTCAAGAAAGATCAGCATTTTTAACTTGTCACATTCCTCAATGCTATTATTTTAGATGGGACGTACGCATCGGGTCTGCTGTACTGTTTAGTTCTGATTTGGTTCGCTGTTCTTACTGGATTTATTATGCATGGATATTATTATTTAAAAAAGTAATATATGAACGTACCTGTATACTATGTGGAATAATGTATAACTGATTAGGTTGATTTTACATGACGCAATTCGACAGTAATTGAAAGAATAATGCATTGTGCTACTTTGTATTGAATTATTTATAGATATGGTGAAAATAATGTAATAGCAAAAGTAATTGAAACATTTTTATTTGCTAGAAATAAAATATCGGAAACTCATAAATTCGTTCAAAAAACCGTTTTTGAAAAACAAAAAAATTTATTGTCGGCACCTCAAACATTGGTTCATCACACGTGACTTATCTATGACTATTGCCACAATATAGTTCTAATTTTAGTTTTATCCGTTTTAGTGCTATTCTACGAATTAATACGGGACAGTAAACATTGCACAAGATGTTTTACTGTCCCTGTAGCTATTCACACGCAATTGTCTAACTTCTAAAGTGACATTCCTTTATACAGACTTTCTCAGTCACCTTCACGACTTCCGTCGGACGCGACGTCGTCGTCCACGAAGGCTGAACTATTGAAAGAGGAAAATCATCGGCGAGAGCTTTCAGCCACGAAGAAACGTCTGGCCGAAGCTGAATCCACAATACAGAAGTTAAAATCGAATTCGTTGAATCCGAAAGAATCTGGAAAGCGCAGAAAACTCGTCGACGGACGTCCCTTGGAGGTCGAGGTTCAGAATCTGCGGGCAGCCAATAAGAGACTGGAGGAAAAGTTAAGCGTGAGTAGGATTGAATTCGATCCAGTCCTATAGTCCTGTATTCAGTGGGCGTAAAAGGTTCCTTGGAAATTAGAGATGCACATGAAGTCTAGATATTTCCAGTAACGACAGCGCACAATAACAAGACCAGGGCGTCGATCGCACGGTCTCCGTTACTGAACCACAATAGAGTCCAATTATATTATCGAACGCCTGTAGTGCCACCAATCAGAAGTTACTTTGTTCTATGAATAACAGTCGATGCAATAATTTCACTTTTACGTAATTAACGTAATGGTTGTATCTAGATAAATATATAGATTACTATCGATCAATTTATAGATACAGTAGAGGTTAGTATTTTGTAAAACATTGATGGTTTGAATTTTTACAATTTCCTCGCAACTTTTCTTCAGGATATCAATTCCTCTGACATTTCCGTGAAACTCTCTAGAAAGTGGCTTCCTTCCTGGAAATGTCTTTAGCCCAGTATCGTTAACTAGCGGCAGTCCGGGCAGACTCTGCAGATTGGTAGAAAACGAACGGCTCTCAATCGCACACATTGAGTGGCACGCTCTGGGCACAGTCTTTTTTTTTCATTAACAGTGTAGCATTAAGCCAGAGGCCTTATGCACGATTTGCATTATTCTGCTCGCTCAGACGGCTTTGACGGCGAGTAATGAAAGTCTTGTTTTCCTCGGCATGGTGAAGTGGACTGGAATATTGCCCCACTGGAGCAAGAATATTGCACTGTCTATCGAATTGGAATGCATTCCAGGACGGATGCCATACTGGAGGTAGACTACTAGCTCCTTGTGTACATTCCAAGTACGAGACCAATTATTGAGAAAAAGGCATTTGATTTAGACTCGCGGAACACGTGCATTGACATTCACGTGACTGGTTCAATGTATAAAACTTCTTTTACTTTTAGAATTAAAATAAACAATCTCTCCTAAGAAGACCAGTGTGCTCATAGTAAGACCGATTATGAGAAAAGAGAAAACAATTGCACTGTGCTCCATTGACAATTGCACGGCATTCTGCCCTTTCAAATGCTTTCGACTCTCTTCGACAAACGATATAGAATTCCAATGAACTTCAAGACCAGCTGATTTGATCTGCAAGATAAGCTGATTGACACGTTCGAGATATGGGGAACCGTAGTTCACGGCGAAGCTTTCGAGGGTCGGTAAAACATTGATGTTCATTTGATGAAAGTAAGGAACACCCGTTGGACTTCTGTGCTCTCGTTTCTGCTGCAGCCGCTTTGCGTCATCACGTGAAATTGCATAAGCTTCGCTATTGTCATTCATTTTCAACTTTTTCGCCACTTCGTACATACTCCTGGGATTGTATTTTCTATATAGACCAGCTGACAGGTCTTCCTCGTCCTCCAAGCTTATGTACTTTATATGACGAAACACTTCAAAGGGAATGGTAATGTTCAAATTACTTTTCACCAAGGTGGCCATGTCGTTTATGTCCGGTTCGTACAAGGTTACGGTAAATACAAAGTTCATACTACCTTGGAACGTGTGCTTCATGACTATCCCAAGCACGGCTATGTATATGAAGAAGCATTTATCGTAGAAGGTGCTCAGGTCTTTTCTTAGCAAGATCGAAAGACTCACTACGGAGAAGATGTCGCCACCTACAAGCCGTTTTCCCCGTCGTCGAATGTGCAACCAGATAGCACCACTTGCTATTACTCCTCCCAAGCACAATAACCAGGTGGAGTGATGTCATGGCTGCAGAAGAACTTTTAATCGGGATATCGCACCGGACTTTGGTACCATCAGGATTATCTTAGAATCCGTGTGTGGATACGTATGCTGATAATATGGATTATTCGTATGGACGAAAGTGCTCACGAATAATATATCGGTCATGTTTAATTTAAAGATGTGCAGGAAGTCTGACTGATGGCTCAACTGACTCAACGAGTTAGAGGGTGTCTGTTGCCATGGCACTGCAATAATGCTCGCGTTCAACTTATTAATAATTATCTGCATATACTGCTCTTCGATATTTGACGATTTGTACCTCATCCTGGAGTTTCTGACATTTGGACCGGTCACTTTCACAGGGTATCCGTGTAATTGAAGAATATTTTTGAAAACTCTCCCGTTGGTTAATTCAGCTTCGTCAAGGGAAACCACTCGATTCTTAAATAAATCGCATTTGTATAATTTAATATCAACTGTCAGAATCTGAACCAGCACAGCTCTTGCCGCCTTGTACTTTCGCATAATGTTGCACGCTGCTTGGGAAATGTTCGCTGAAGTAATTTCAGTGATTATGTGAAATTTTACATTAGAATTCCAAAAATGACAGGACGTCCAACCTCGTATAATTTTTTCAAAAGTATACAGTTCGTCCAGAAAAATAATGAGTCCTTGAACTTGTTCCTCCCACTTGACAAAGGTACTATTTTTTGCTATCAGTTTGGGTATGTAAAATTGTTTATGAGGCAAAATATCATTAAACAGTTTGGAATTATTTCCTTGTATACCAATTATGTTATGAGTATCCCTATAGTATACTGCCATAAGTTTATGGATCGCTCTATAAATTTTATCGTTTCCCGTTTCAATCACAGGTATCTTGTAGGCCATTGTCACATGTAGCAGAAGAAAGAAGTTGTATTTTTTAAACAAGTTTTTCATACTTTCCACGTATAAATGTCACACTGTAGAACACAACTGGTTCACGGGCCACTGATCTTCCGTGTAACGTGTAATTCCGATGCGTCGTTTGAACTTATACCGAAATTCCATTAGGGTATGTAAGACGCCATTTTTCGTTTTCCAGGAGCGGAGCACTTACTGTTAGACTGTCCGCACTTTAAGTCCATTTATGGCGCATAATAAACTTCTCCCTTTTGACGGGCCGTATTATTACGGTTATGCGAATTCGCGGCCGTTATGAAAATTGTATAAGAGACGATTTTCTTTAACACGACCATTACGCTTCTACTTAAATCACAAAGTAGATGTAGGTTTATATACGATAGAAAGAAACCTAGTTATAGATCTCATATGAATTTTAAGGTCATAGCCAAGCCATGAATTCTTTGGTCGAATGAATATCCATCATGACTCGCGGTCATATAATTAAATTACATTTAATTTACATGTAACATTTGGTTAAGTCAATAACAATCGTTATATTACTTCTTGGGACGCTGCTTGGTTCCAAAATATTTTATATATAATATTTTCAATATTGTATTATTATACCTATTAAATTATAAATTTGTCGTTTGGTTTTTTAGATGCTAGTCGAAGCCGAAAGATCTCGAACCGTGGAGCTAAGGGTGCAGCATGAAAATCACGAGGCTGAGTTGGCTGCTCTTCAAAAAACTTTACGTAGCGACACCATCAAAATGGTGAGTAAGGACTGTCTCAACGTACATATATATATATATATATATACGTATTTATCAATAAGTATGCGTAATCGAAGTTTTGGTATGTCAGGATCATCGGAGTCTAGACACGAGAGCCTTTGAGAATGTCGTAGAGGAATTTTCGAGCTTGTCGATTCGGAGCACAACAGTGCCTGTCGTTGATCTCGTGTGAAGGGTATAGGGAGCCCCATTATTGTTATTATGATTTCGGGGACGTGTGCCCCGAAGGGGTGTGGTTAGGGCCCCTGGCACGCGATACTCCCACAGTCGAGTGCCCGTTAAAGGCAGTTATTAAAAATTGGGCCCGAGGCCCAAGTCTGGCTCGGGTCGTAGAAAAATTGTCTGAAATTCATGACGTCCTTCCACTGCTATTTCTGGTCAAGACTTAGGCACTTTAAGGAAATGCCTGCCATGCCACTGCGGTAGGAGTTCCTCGCCGTGTAATTATACGAAATATCTTCCCACACTATTTTTAGGATTTTTGCGTGCTCCTTCTAATTTACTGGATCTGCCTCCTATCGTACATCAGAATCGATTCCATCTCCCTCTTAATGTTTGTATACTGTCTACCTGTCCATACGATTATTTTCTTTCCGTTCACTTTTACCCTTTCCCCCTGCTTCCTTTGTTCACAAATTCCAAAAAAAAAGATCTTGCTCTTCAGTGGACCAGCCTGAAATTTCTAGCTATTTCATAATTTCCCGCTCATTTTCCAGATCCCATTCACTCTAGCGAGCCGAGTAACGGATGTTTCATGATGATCTTTAATGCGGTGGCCAGCCTGCCTCTTGGGTTTTAATTGTTTTCTCTTGAAACGCCCCTAAAGATTAGACGGACACGCCTGTAAAGTGCACCGCTATAATGATACATTTATGTGACACCGTGTATGTTCTTCCGCGTTACTTACCTACCACTCACGGACTAATGCCGGTTCCATGACGATAACGATAATGCCAATATACTGATATTATCGTCTACCGTTAAGGACCAGTTGAAATATCAAGAGAATATATGTACGAGTAAGAATTTGGGTAAGAAACAAAATATAAATTCAGGATGACATAAATTATATGAAAAATGGAAAATGAGTGATTTTGTTCCGGTGAGGAATTGAGTTGACGATCGATCCTATGAAAACGCCCTGAACCAATAAGTCTTTAACAGTTTAAACGCACTACAATAGACCAGGTTCACACGCTCCAACTCCTCCACATCAGCACGTAGTAGTTCGTTCAGCTGGTTCTTTCACGATTGCCCCCGGCAATGGAATCGCTAAAGAATTTGTTGTCTTTTTCTTGCGGTTTCATTCCAGAGCGATTCATTCGGTCAGTGAAGCCACGATTATTAATAATGCGAAGAATGAAAGTTAACGTTTTTTTTTGGCATATATCGGAGGTACCTATTGATTTCTTTTGTAATGATTCAATTTTTTTTTCTCTCAGTACACTTTTCCTCGGGTTTTCGTTTCGGTAAAGCTCGCGATCCTTCGGCAGGATTGGTTTATCCGAGCGTGTGAATTTGGGCCGCGGTCGAAACGAGTTTCTCGCAGCGTGGGAAAAACCGCGCGGCGCGACCTCTGCCCGCGGTGCGCGATGCAGGTTGCATTATTTGATATTCTGTACTCGAGCGAATGTTATGGTTGTTACGTTGCGTCGCGTATGCGCTCAACTTTTTGGATGAACCAGAATTCTTTTTTTCGTGTTACCTCGAGAATTAATAATTGACATATAGGAACTTTGGGTGAACCTATGCATAAAAATGAAAGATATAAAAAATTTCCGAAGATTTCATTTAAAAAAAAAAAAGTGTAAAAGATTTAAATGATGAAGAAGAATCTGAGCTATCAAAAATATTTATTTTATATTTGTGATACGTCCAAGATATTTGATAAAATAACGTTAAACCTCCAAGTCGCACCTATCGCAACATGATTATAGATATAAGTTCAAGTGAAAACTATAGAATCGAAAATAACGAAATTACTTTTAAAACGTAAAATATTCATCCGCGCCAATACGTACTTTAATTTAAAAACTTCAAAAAATTGAAATACCTCAAAGATACATATGTCCATTTTTGAGTTTATAATCCATAAATTATAGAATATCCAAAAAAATTTACTTTACACGGAACACCCAATGTTATTGATTTACAACAATTCTATTTTACACACTACTTACTTTGTGGTTGAATTCGAAAACTCTGATCCAAAGTGGACTAAATAGTATAGAGAATGTGAGCGATTGAAAACGAGTGCTTGAAGGCGTGAGGAGAGGGTCATGGGTTAGGCCCAGTCATTCAAGGATAACTCAACGATATAATCGTCAGTCACCGCAGCGAATGATGCAACAGGGATTGACTCAAGCCGCACCGTAAATTGGGAATATGGGTCAAGTCTCCAAGAGAGAAAGAGAGAGAGAGAGAGCGTACAGTTGCTACATAGTCCAATAGGATTGTTCTGCACCAAACTGATCAAGCGTTAAAATAAAAATAATCTTACACCGACATACATAGTATGGAGAATTCTCGAGTCCCGTCACGACTACCTAAAGGAATAGTTGATACACGTTGTTGCATTTTGTGTCATGAAAATATCGCCGTCCGGTCTCCTCTTTTATGGTATATCCATTTAAATCGAAATTCCAATTCTATGGGTTATTCGAGACACTTCACGCAGCACGTTTAGCATTTCGTATCCCGTACGGCATGGCGCACGCCAACATAAATCCAAACGCCGTGTGGCATCTAGCCAAGCGTACCAGAAGGATCTCTTGCTAAGAGTGACCTTAGAGGAAAATTTTTCCAATAGATTTATATATATCTATTATAATCCTGCACCTATTATATTACCTATTATATATAGGCGTGTATGGGAACGAGTAAATTTTCTTCATTCCACATTGCAAGGACACAACTGCATACGTGATCTAATAATACGTGCAGCCAAGTCTTGTCGACACTCGCGCACTGATTGAGCGAGGGTCGACTTGTTTTTACCGGGGAGGGAAGGAAATTAGATATTCACGCATCGCAGGCAATAAAAATGTACTTGGAGTTTACACTGCTTTATAGAATATGCAGGGACTTTCTCTATGGTGCATCGTACGCGCAATGCCCACATTTGTTTTTGAGTCGTAAACTGTGGGTTATCGTAATTAAAGTATAAGACGATAAATCTCAGAGAAATAAAGTCTCAAAAGTAATAACGAAGTAACAGCGACTCTCGGTTCATTTCGTTTCGCCGTGTCCTATGTCTATCGACGTTGTCATCCTCGGAAAGCTTCTTCTTATGCTTCTTTGCCACGTAATAAGTAATAAGCACAAACGCTTCTGTCTTATATCTACCACGTGATCCCGAGAGGCGCATCGTGTACTCTTACGACTCTAATTGTACATTTCTATAGCAATTTAAGATGATTCGCGATGCTTTTCTTGCGGAAACTTAGAAAGGCAAGGTGAAGGTGAAGGCCCCCAGGCTGATTGTCAGACACGTCCACGTGGACGAAGCCGACGGAGAAAGAGTCTTTCCCTGCTCGGTGGCCACTCAAAAGTAGAGCGAAAAAATTCAGTCAGACACAGACGGGGCAACCTTGCAATTTATCAGCGCGTTCGAACGTGGCTGGTTAATCGATATCTTAGCTATGAGCTTGTTAACTTTGAAATATAGAGTCTTATTATTGGAATCGAATTTTTCCCACGAAGCTGTTTCATACATATCAAGTTTATCGTATACCGATCTCTAATGACCTCGTAAGCTTTTCTTTTTACCAGTTTACGCCATCCTTTTATTTCATACTTTTTGTCCTTTTACATGGTATGAAAAACGTGCGTATTTTACGTTACCTACATTTTTTACATGCCTCAGGGATGAGGGATCACGTTGACAGCATCCTTCCGTACACACGCCCTCTAGCCAGTTCCTTTACACGTGCGAGCGATTTCTTCCGCTTCAGCGAGAGAGAAAGTTTTCTTTCATGGACGGAGACCTTTTGGCGAAATATTAATTGCCTGGGATTTCGCGAGTTCGTTATCCCACTGACCCCACCGGCTGTCAGAAGCAATAATAATTGCAGCACATGAACGTCCGTATTAATCCTTTCGATTATTTTCTACTACTAGTAACTTAACTACGACTAGTAACTTTTCGAGTACTTCGGTCAGCTACGTATTAAAAAATAAAATGTAAAAAAAAATAAATCAACGATCATCCTTATTTTACATTATTACGCTCTAGCCTAACGATTTTTCCATCCTTTTTCTTTTTACATACAGATGGACGAAATACGAAGTAAAAACCGAGAAATTGAAAAACTGGAAAAGCTCGTGCAGGAGGGCTCGCAGATGCATCGGAAACTGCAGACGAAGGAAGACGACCTGGTGAGTGATTTCTTTGGGGGAATTATTATATTTTAGTTTTTTTTTTACTGTTACTGAACAACTACTAGTTATAGCGAGTTCAGCTGAAATCCTGTGCGGCATAACTGCCACTCCTACACACAGTTCGAGCAACGTGACAGTGGCTTGTGAAAGCTCTAGGGACAAATAAGTGTACTCAGGTTGGTATCGCGACCTGTAGCGATAACGTGAAACGACGCGGACCCGCGGCCACTCTGTCAAAGTCCCAGGGCGTGCAACTTCTTATTGCTGAACTCTCACAACGGTTTCTTTAAAAGGCAGCTAACCGATATCGCGCAGTGAATATTATTGATGTCTGCTTTCACGATACGCGCCATTATGACGTTCTCTGTATATCTATATGTATACGTTTATAATACCGTTGAAACTCGTGTGTCGCCATTCGACAGTTTGAATCGAGAGTGAGAGAAGGATAGAAAAGTGGCTCGTTCACTCGCTCACTCGTTCGAGAAAGAACCTTCTCACGAACTCCTCCTATCTCCTTGGTTAAATTTCATGGAGAACATTTCGAACGAAGAAGTCCTTCGAGGATACTAGCTTCGCCGAGCGTTAATGAAGAACGCGTCGGATCCTTAATGGATTTCCGGTTAATATCTAAGAGAATTCTTAATAGTTGAATATAACCGCTATATACATATACAGTAATGCGCAATTGAAGTGGAACACTTTAATTTTTGTGTATCTCTACGAAACTATGACCGATTTAAAAAAAACTAAAGATATGTTTTTTAGGAAATTTTCTTCCCGTTCGAATGGTAAAGGTTTTATCCCGATCGGTTACAAAATGGCCGAATGGCAGGGGTTGGAGTGAAAAAGTGCATTTTTGAACTTTTTGAAAATTTCGAGATCTAGTATATACATATATCATCGATCGATTGAGTTATAACGAATGGGACTTTTAGTACTCTTTTCCAAATTTCTCTTTATAGAGAGAGAAGGTGATATTTTTATTCTTATTGTTTTTTGCATTAATCAAACTGCTTGAAATTCTTACTCCTTTCTCTGTTATCGGAAACACGGGAATCCTAACGAGGACGCTAACCTCTTGTCTTTATCAAGACCATTTTTCTTGTAGTCGTAGATTTTCCCATGGACAGAAGCTGTCAGGCTTTTATCTTGGGAACAATAGCTTCTACGTATCCGCTTGCAGTTACGGTAATTTTGGAATATGCGAGTCCAACAACCTTGTGTTTATCCAGCAGGTATCGGTTGGCTATTTCAAATATTTGAGTAAAAGAAAAATAAAGACCAAAAAAAGAATCTTATGAGACACAATGATCACTCTATGGTAATGCCGTTTCAAGTCCCGTAGTATAAACAGTTTTCATCCTGAAGCTATCAACGTTTACTCGTTGTCTTCAAATGGTTCACCGAAAATCGCAACGACGCCGCGACGTGTCTCGTGTCGACGCTGACAAGCCGTATGTCTGCAAAATGTATTCTTTCGTGTCCTCTCGTAGAGTCATGTATTTATGAATATTCATGGCCGTACAAATATCATAGATCTCAGTATGTAAGCGTCGATAGTCAAAGACGGCTACAAGAGTCATCAGCGTTTTTGCACCTTGTTTAATGTAAATTCGATAATAAAGTCTTCAGAACCCACAGGCCCGTATCAGAAATATATTTGTACAAAGTGCGATGTATATACATAGGTAGGTGAGCAAGTTCGCACCTAGCAGTACCGGTAAGAGAAAAACCGTTAGAAAAATAATAACAGCATCGCCGCGAAGGCGACGCTTAACGTGCCGCGTGATCGTACGTGAGCTCCCGTTGACCTGACCCAGACTAACCGTACGCTAATAACTTCATTAAAGTACGATTTGAACTCAGGCTGTAACTAAGGCACTTACTTCCTGACTTCCTGAAGCAATTTACGTGCGCGCCTTCAGAATCGCCGATCGCATCGAACAAACAATGAATAAACCCACGCGACGCCTGATCGTCGTTAATTTCAAACTGTTAGTAAGGAATGTGGCCGCTAGGCGTCTTGTTGACTTGTCCCACTAGTACGAATTTCCAGCTAGTATACTAAGCAGTGGGGCATTATGGTTAACACAAGTAATAACGCATTGTTCTAGTAGCCATAGTGCACACAGTGAATACGTAGGTAGTAGTATGGTTGGCAGTAGAAGTGGCAGTAATTTCTGTTTGCGCTATAGCGAGCGCCAAGGGAAGGAAAGGATGTGCCTGCAGGTAGTAGAAGGCCACGATCGGACTTCAGTCTTGTCTAGACATCGGGACAGTGCACACGCCTCCCGTACTTTCTCACGGTTTCATTCGGTGGATGGGAATTCAAAAGTCTTTCGAGTTGTTAAAGGAAAGATCAGTGCCGGTCTTCGGATTTGCCACGAGATTCATTTGTTATATGAGTCGATCAAGTCAACGCGCGGCTGATGGGGTTCGCGTGGAACGAGGTAAGGGACTTTACGACCCCCTTCCATTTTAATATCACGGAGATTTTTTTCAGTTTTTTTTTTTTCATCTGCCATCCCCCTAAGCTTTTATTTATCTTGGATAAGGCCCCACGGGGAAATTCTTGTGACTACTCTTATCGCTGTGTTCTTGGTGATTTTTTATCATTATCAAGCCATAATATTTTTTTTCTGAATATTATAATTGTTCTGTGAATATATAATGATAAGCATTGGCGTCGTCAGGGGCGCCAAGAAGACTTTCAATTTTTCTTGAATGTCTCCCGTGTACAAATCTAACGCACTTTATATATAATGTCTTCCAGCGGGTGCAATTATTTTGCAGTTGCTTTACGCGACCGGTTTCAGTTTTCCGATATGTATTTTCTTGACCTGAAAGCATATCCTTTACATAAATTCTCTATTGATGCAACAAACTATTTTCAGTGTATATGCGTACATATCTATTAGAGCTCTGTATTAATTTTTAATATAGTATTAATTATAAGTATTAATTGTTATCCTTCAAGATTTTAAAATGCTTATCCATATTCCGCCTATCCACGTAAAGACTCTCCTATCTTTGTCTTATGCTGTCACAACGGTCATGCGCGAATCCATCGGCAGTGGTTTGACCTTTGGAGGTTCGGCAATTTTTCATGAAAACAGTGATCTCTATTCACTGGATATAAATAACCTAAATTTTTCGAAAAGTCGCAAGTTTTCTTTACCGCCACTACAGTGGCGTTGCTGATCCTCCAGAGGTTAAATAAAGAAAAAGAAGAACCAACACGTTCAATCCGACCTAGGCGAATACCTGGAAATAGTGGGGAGTACCACTGTACTACGTCGAATTTGCTATAAAAGAAAAAGGACGGAAAAAAATAGAGTTCCGTCACCGTCTCTGTTTACAGTATTTCGAGTCGCCATGCTGACAGCGCCGACACACTGACCTTTTCCACTTTGTTTCGTTGTCCGAGCTGCGAGATCCAATCTGCCGGTAACCATACGAATTCGCCTCACAATCTCAAATTACGCAATTTACAAGTGACCGTCGATCGTAAGACTATGTTTGTACAGAATATTTTCTACTTGACGTTTCCTGCAATTTTTTCTCTTTTTTTTTCCAAAGTATCCTCTCTCACTCACCATTCGACACGATGCATCTAAATAAATTCTTTTTAGCATTTTTTCTTGCTTTTTTCTTCTTCTCTCTATCAACTTACACAGTATTCCCGGAAGACTTTCACTCGGCTTACACAAGAGTGTCGTTTTTCATGGTCAAGATCTTCAAAAATTATACCCGCGGCATTAACCGTGAACGCCACCGTATCCCATTGCCCTGAGAGCAATAATTCTCGCGGGGACGAGCTCAATTCTTCACGGCGCGAACGCGTTTCGAAAACAAATGCCATATCACTTTCGACTTTTACAAATCGCGCCCATGCATTTCGCATAATTCCCTTGGCTGAAACTGCGGCACACTTTGTTCACTCTTATTTGCCCGTGCGCTTAGTTGCATGTGAATTATCTTTTCACGCCACGTGCCGTACGCAAAGCACGCGTTCGCGTGTTCCTGTGACACAGTTTGCACTTCTCGTTCCACGACTCTCGTGTACGAGTGATTTCAGGAATCGAGAAAAAGAGAAATACGCGACCGAGAGAGTACGCGCTGGCATCTTCCAGGCGTAATTATCCTCGATGGATTAACAATTAGTAATCTGTTCTAATGTTAACGGTGACCTACCTCGTATATTACAGTCACCACGGGTCGACTGTCATCCCATTGTCATAAGGTTCACCATATAAGATCATTCTGAGTCACCATTAGCCACCAGAAATAATGTGGAGGTGGTGACCATAACGTAAAAAATTAGTGGCAAGACTTATGGTGCCTTGGGACGCATAAATATCATATATATATATATATGTATATTTATATTCATATATTATATATTTATATTCACGTCTGTATTATACGTTATATTAACGTTATATTAACGTATAATACATATAACGCGATGACTGTCCTCATTCTCTCACGTAGCACGATATAAAGTGCGGATTAAAAATTGAAAACGCACCTATTCCGCGTTTTCGCGATTCACGTGAAAATCGTTAGAATCTCTTTCAGCGCCATTGCCACCTAATTACCCGAGGCACAGTGCTTTCTTATGATAATATCAACTGTGCCGCATTTTCACAGCGAAATGCATTCAGTGATCCATTTATTAAAGACTGTAACGAGCCAAGTGGTCACATACCTAAAGCAACAGACTGTAAGGACGGACTCGAATCCCTTTCGATTAAACCAGGCACGCATTTCATTCACAGATCTGGCACGCGTCACGTTACAGTTAGCTTGGATCTGGTATGTGTATATACCCGGAGTAAATATATTTACCAGATGATATCGGAAAGCAGAGAAGTTTTGTCTCATCCGATCCAACGTTAATTGAGCTTACGAGTCGCAAGAGGTTAACCGTTGGCAATCTCCAATGAAATCTCGCTCTCCACCTTTTATACTTCCGGGACCGGAAAGTCTAT